GTGAAAGTCAAGCTCTTGAACCTGGTATTACGGGCAATTTCACTATCGACGCTATGCAGCTTGTGGTTGATTATGTTGGTTGTAACACGAGCAGCCTTCACTCACAAGAGACCATAGCTTGCCTCCGGAATTTCGATATGGATACATTACTCAATGCATCATTGACTACTTATCAGTCAGATATTGGCCACAATATCGGAGATATTTGGCTTCCTGTTGTTGATGGAGACTTTCTTCCTGCGGCACCATCAAAGCTAATAGAAGAGGGGAGATTTGCCAATGTCACGACCATGATTGGATGGTGTGACGACGACGTGACCTTTTTCACAGACTTCACCATTTCAACGCCAGAGGACACCTATGATTTCGTCTCAGACTACATTCCAACTATGACTACAGCGAATGTTGACAAGTTGCTGGCTTTGTATCCTTCGTCCGATTTCCCTGCAGATGAGTCCGCAAACTTGTCAAGCGAGTTCTTCCGCTCTGCTCGGATCTTCCGTGATATTCTCATGACATGCCAGCCAATATACTACGCTGAGAATATTGCAAAGGCCGGGAATGATGTCTACCTGTACGACTGGAATCAAACAATTTTAGACCCTATTGTAGAGTATCTCTATGATCAGACCGGTCTGGGACCGTTTCACACCTCCGAGTTTGCGTACATCTTTGGCAATCTGTCACACTATAATACAAGTGGATGGCCATTTGACCCCACACCAGCGGATTACAGCCTCCGTGATCGTGGCTCTAGATCCTGGACGACTTTCGCTAGCACAGGGAAGCCAGGGCTTAAGGGTCATGATACCTTTGCCGGCTTCAAACCTGCCTTTCCTGAATGGAATGAAACATTTATTTTCGTTGCTGGAGGGCCACATGAAGGTTTATCAGCAATTGATGGTCCTCTCTCGACGCCGGATATTCGTGCCCAGAAACTGCGAGAGAGATGTGCATTTATCAACTCCCCTGAAATTATTGAGGAGCTTAGATATTAGTTCTATACACATCTATGCACTTTCCATTATTACGTACATGAATACGTTGGACCAGTCTCGTCGCCTCGATTCGTACAGACGGTCATATATTGTGCTTATGTGCAAGGTCACCTGTCCCTATCCACCCGTACTCGATAACTCGAATGTGCCTCAGGGCCTTCCAGTAGCTCTTTCATCATCTTGGCGTCGGATGAGCCGCCTCCGTTCTCAATTAGGGCAGCATCGATTGCGAGTTGTGCAAATTTCGCGGCTCTCTTTTCATAACCAAGCGAGTTCATATTCAAAGCTGCGAGCGTGTATGCTCGAGCTAGCTTTGCCTCCAGCCTCTCATTGCCATGATGTTGTAGTAAGTATGAGATTAAGCCAACCGTCACCTCCTGACTGTCAAAGTCGGATAGTTGACCCTCGATCCATTTGATCTCGCTTAGGCGTGAGTCTGATTCTGCAACCTCATCGGTTGGAAGAGAGCACTGCGAACATTTACACTCAATGCCCCAAATCTCTTGTGCGCGGCTCTGGCGTTCTGTATGCGGAGCGAGAGGATTTAGGTAGCTGATGTTGATCTCGTCCCCGGGACCGATAGTCCTTGCAGCAGTGGTAATATGCATCAAGGTAACAGGATCAACGTAAAAGGCTGCGTTAGGACGGCAGTTATGATTCAAGCGAGAGACCTCCGGAAAGCTGCCGTAGTGGTGTCCCCGACCATCCGCTCCACCCAAATCGAGTAGAAAGGCCTTCTTAGACAGAGTGGATAGTCCTCGGTTCTCTGTTGGAATGTGTGATAATTCACTTATGAGCATGTCGCTGGTTGGTGGCGGCAATGAATCTATTGCGAGGTCCAGGAGGCTCTGCTGCTTCTCAAGAGGCAACTCCTCGTAGAAAGATTGATGCACCAGGAGGACAGGAGGATAGCCCATTATCGGATCTCCACGAGCCAATTTCTTGTCTGCGATAATGCCTGATTCTCTCCCCGTGACTTCGGCCGTGTGATATGGCAGATTGCTAGAGTCTGCTAGCGATATTTGCAGTGAAAGCAGGATGTCACCTGCTGCCTTGACTGGTTGCATTTGGTCGGCCCCTGTTAGCACCGCGATACCCCGACCGCCGGCGAACCCACGGTTCCAATATAGACAGATACCATCTTCGCATTGATCACCGCCTTTCCAACGGTAGAGCGCTGTGTCGTTGCCTCCGAGAACATCCTGGCTGAGGACATGATGCTTCAAGACTGGACAGGTAAGATCCGGGGGGACGAAGCCCCAGAAGCATACTTGCGCGCTGTCGAAGGCCACTTGTTCATATACAAGTGCAGATGCACAGCCTAGAACTGATAAGAAGGCAAGTATTCTCATGATTGATGATGACTCGGTCTCGGATCATGGTCGAGATGACACTATGTTCAAAATTCGATGTTGTGACGTGAGGTGCGCGCTAAGAAGCATCCCCACGTTTCATCCGGACCCCTGACGATAGCGCATGTGGGACAGAACGCTATAGGGCAATCCCGCTCCAGTTTCTGAGCTAGGCTTGAGGTCTAGACACACCCACCAAATCCAGCGGCTGGGAGCGAAGATGGTTCCGCGATATACTCATCAAGTAGCGCAATTATGGACAATCACCTCATACTTACAGGTCTTCACGGGATATCGCAAGCGTAGACAAGGAAGTGCAGCGAGAAATGCAGAATTGCTATAACGCCGCTACTTTACTTTATGAACTTGCACCTTCTCATGAATTCTTTTTAGGACCTGGCAGCCTCTAGGCTGCCCGTGAAAGAGGATATCATTTAATCAGTAGGCACAGAGCAGCGCCCATCGTTGCAAACAGATTACATCACGAGCTGACACGATTACTAACATCGTAATCTCGAAACGGCGTGACATCATAGCTAGCTTATCGCAGAAGTTCACTGAAGTTGCCGATAAGATAGCTAACCTGCACAGAAACTTCTCTCACGCAATGAAAACGACACGATGCCTGCTCCTGCAGTGCTGATGGCCTTGGCTGTCACCGGCGCAGGGTGGCGTTGACGCACAGTACTTGTATGGATGCACATTACACCAGAACCGGTAAGATGCAAAATGGTGAGACCTGTGCGGATGGATATCTCCGGGGGTGGGGGCAGCTATCTGGTGAGTGTCATCATAGCCTCCGGATGTAGAAACGGCAAAGGCTTGATGGATGCTTGTCAGCCTCAAGAGAAAGGTAGACCCCGTTCCCGACCGGATGCTGATCAGGGTCCTGCAGCTATAACAAACTGTAGTTAGATGGAGTCTCGTGTATCCATCTTCATGCGCCTCACGCACCACCTGCAGAGAGTTTGCACGATTCTTCGCGTGCTCTCGCAGCAATCGAAAGCACTGGAAATTGAGAGCAGATGGGGTTGGATAGGCAGTCTGGCAGATAATGCACGATGATGCATGCCCGATCAGCCTCTAGCTCACCATTGGACCAAAGACAGGGAAGGGGGCTGCACTTGCGATGTGGGCTGCCGATCGGGGCTAGACCACAGCCGTTATTTTGCGTGTTATTGTCAAGGCAAGCCTCCCAAGCCCTCCATCTTGACCACCCGCTTCTCTGAAGGTAGGACGGCCTGTGGCGGTGTGAAATACTCGCTTAATATTGCACAGTCAAACACAGATGTCGATCCCGCGTCGCCGGTGAGGGTTCAGTGGCTGTCTGGCCGTCACAACTACGCCATAGGATTGGGATTGGGTGTCGTCACCAGCATTCCTATGGCGGCATTGCTTATCTCTTGGTGTACTCGTTCTTATTGTCCCTCCACACCACCTTTTTTCTCATTCGTTCACCGTGTCTCTAGGCAGTCTATGTTGACATTCATGGTGAATCTCTGGCTCTCTCTTGCAGGTGCGGCGGCATGCAGTCGCTCGATCGTTTAGTATGCTACTTATCCCATTGAAGCCCGCATTTATCTCCTTTCTCGAAAATTTACGAGTGAAAACATAACTGAATCTCCACACTGGTGTTCGAACTCCATATAACGCTCAATATTCATTGCGATGTCCGAGTCCGGATCCGCACCGATCGACATTAACCTCCCGCCTCGGGACCGCCGTCACTCTATACTCTCCGATTTCCTGCCCGAGAGCTTAACAGTGCCTCCTTCTTTCATCGCTACATCTCCCATTGTCCGGGAGATCTTGACCAAAGATATTGCAGAATGCTCCTCAGAAGAGGATCATGGGGACGATGAAGCGAGTGCTTCAGACAGTGATTCGGAGTCGAGACAGTCTGCTCATGGCCCCGATGTAAAGCTGGCATTCCACGCGAATGGGGTTTCATTTGGATGCGGGTATTCAACGATTCCTGTCCAAGGGCTGGATCGCCCGGTGCCCAATCCGCACGAGGTTGATGAATCATATCATGCAGAAGTCAGCCTCTTGCGCGACAACGACATCATCCCTCCCAGGCACCCACGAAAAGGCTGGAGGATCAGTACTTTCGGACGCATATATCGATATTTGTTCAGCACCAAGGTCAAAGATCATGAAGGCCCGATTCTACCGATTCTCACGAAAGGTGGCCCTGGCGAGACTAGCCCGCTGCTCGGTGCCACTGTAGAAGAATACGAAAGAGTGCCGCCAACACCAGGCGTGGAGGAGGTGTACGAGCAATGGGAAGAGGCTGTGGCTGCCCACCTCATCAAGACCACTTGGCAGCGTGAAACAAAGACACTGATACAATACTCAGCACCTTTGATCGCCACGTTTCTCTTACACTACTCCGTTACGATTGGTAGTGTGTTGACAGTGGGCCGACTTGGGATGTTGGAGCTGGCTGCGGTCAATCGTAAGTCTATTTGATAGTTTCACTAACAGACAACCAATCTACAAGATTGCTAAGACCTCAATAGTGGCTACGATGACAGCTAGTATTACATGTTATGTCCCAGTTCAAGGGCTAGCAACATGTCTCGACACACTATGTGCCCAAGCCTATGGCTCCGGGCACAAACATCTCGTGGGCCTTCAAGCGCAAAGGATGACCTGGCTTTTATGGATCCTCATGATCCCGATCGCAGTGCTGTGGTGGTTCTCGAAGCCGATCTTGGTTGCTCTGGTTCCAGACGAAGAGACAGCATCACTTGCCGCGCTATATCTACGGGTGCTAATCATCGGCATGCCTGGTGTCGCTGCTTTCGAGAGCGGCAAGCGATTCGTACAATCTCAGGGACTCTTCCACGCGACGACGTATACCTTGCTCATTGGTGCACCACTGAGCTTCTTCCAAAACTGGCTGTTCGTTTTCAAGTTCAACTGGCACTTTGCTGGAGCAGCTACGGCTATGGCCATCACCCAGAACTTATTGCCACTTCTACTTATTCTATACGTTCGATTCTTTGAAGGCGCAGAATGCTGGAAAGGGTTCAGTAAAAAGGCTTTTAACAATTGGGGTGAGTAATCTCTCCGGCCTTGTGATTGCCCATTCGATGGCACTGGGTCACTAACAAACTGTATCGTTTAGGCCCGATGATTAAACTGGCTCTACCTGGAATGATCATGATCGAGGCTCAGTTCTCGGTTTTGGAGATTCTCACCATCGCTGCAGGTCAGTTCGGAACCGCGCAGCTTGCGGCCCAGAGCGTCCTGGTCACGGTCACGTCTACCTCATTCAACATACCGTTTCCGCTCGCCATTGCGACCTCGACTCGTGTTGCAAATCTCATTGGGGCCCATCTGAGCGACGCTGCGCGGATAACTGCCAAAGTGGTAAGTGAAATTGGATCATCTTTGTGCACATACTCAACATCCCAGGCCGTACTAATTGCGAGCTTCACAGGCTATCGTCGCCGCATTCATTGTTGGCTCCTTCAATCTTACCATCTTTGCCACTCTCCGCCGAGTTCTTCCTCAGGTCTTCACGAATGACGATGAAGTCATAGATATTGTGTCACAAGTCATCCTCGTCTGTGCTGTCATGCAGATTTTCGACGCCTTAGCCGCTGTTTCTCATGGCATTCTTCGCGGTGTCGGACGACAATCGATTGGGGGATACGCGAACCTCTTCTCATACTACCTAGTAGCGCTACCTATTTCGTTGTCGACGGCTTTTGCATTGGGTTGGAAGCTGAGCGGTCTATGGACTGGCTTAACTTGTGGACTTGCCGTGTAAGTCCCATGTATGGAATCTGCCCAAAAGTAGCATGCTAACAAATGTGCGACAGAGTATCGGCTTTGGAGCTGATATATCTTTACAATGCCGATTGGGAGATTGCTGTTGCTCAAGCTGAAGCACGAATGCGCTCAGAGGATGCTAATCCCGAGCACAAAGCAACGGATGATTCGTGAATGGTGGTATAGTCGTGTCTTATCTAGTCAGGTCTAATTCTTAAGCTTTCAAATTAGAATGATTCAATGGACTTTGTGACACGGTGTATATAATCATTTGGGGATGGAGACTGTTGAAGAAATTTTGTGCCAAATTCCTTCACACATCCTGGCAATCGAGGTTCGGGATAAAATCTAGACAACACTGACGAGCGACCTGCTGATGTTAAAATAGACCTCTAAATTCACCTTGATCTATTCTGCAATCTCCCTGTGTGGAATGAGATTTGAAGTGAAACCCTAGTTGTGAATGGTGAGCCATAATTCTCTCTGCCAAGGCATCCTACCATTGGTGGTGACCTCCACATGACGCGATGTGCGTGAGGCAATACGAGCACATTTAAGATTAGAATACGCGCTCCAATTTGCTCAAAGTCCAGCTACTTTACATATGAAAGGTTTATTGATGTTATTGACCCGGCCGACTGCAGACTTGCCTTCTTACAATAGTCAAAAATGATCGACAAAGTCCTTTACAGTCTTGATATTCTCATCTCCCTGCAGGCTGTGACTCTTTTCGGTTTTGCGTATCCTAGTCGTTTTCGAGTAGCATTATGGGAAAACGGGGGCGTTGAGGGATGGAATTCCAATCCTAACCTCCGCATATACTACTATGCAAATCACAGAGAACCTCCTGAAATTCCTTTGCTTTGGACTCAAGAGTACTGTTCCTCATCTTTGGAAGGAAGCATTGCTTAAGTTCTGGACGTTTTCACTGATTCTCTCTTTAGCTTGGCAGAGTCCAATCTTGGCATTGCAATTATTTCACTTGTGGTCTGCCTTACCAGGGTCCTCACAGTACGGCTCTGGTACTGCCCGGCAACAGTGGAAGCTCTTTACGATACCATTCTGTTCAGCCTTTGGACCACTAGTACATATCGACAGGTCTCCAGCGACCTCTCAGATCCCAGTCATCCTTCTCGATATCCGTGGTACCTCACGAAGAGCTGTAGTGCTAGCTGGGACAGTTGCCGGTCTTATTGCAGAGTGGCTCAAGCAGCATTTGTTACGACGGTCCTAGCGGTGCTAGTCTTCAGTCTACACCTCATGTTGCATGCCTCACGAGGACTACGAAACTTCGGCAGGGAAAGTTGCAAGATCTCGGTGTATAGTGTTGATGAAAGTCTTTTTAAGTGGAGTGTTCCGCCGTACCAAGATACAGATTCTACCGCTTACTGTAACGATGCCTTGAGTCCAGTATTAGCGTTCTTTCCAGAAGATTAAGCGTTGTTGATGTTGACTTGGTTGAGAGAAAGGGTATCTGTCAATATGAAGCGTTCAGATATAGACGATGGAGCCCTGTATTATCCTGCTTATCGAACTAGTGGATATAGCTCACTGTGTATTTATAATACGCAGGAAAGAAGAATCATGTACTAAAGAATTACAAAGTATGAGAATTTAAGAAGAAAACGCCTCAATCCGATCCTTGTCAGTAATCTTCTACGATATCCTCATCACCACTATCTAGGTGATCAATAAAATTACCACTTTGTTTTAGCAAACTAGTTCTGGTGCTCTTATGAGACCACATGGAGAGTCAAGATGCTTTCTAGCCTCAAGTAAAGTGAAGTAAATTAATGAAGTTTGACAACGCTGCGTCCTTCTTGAAGGGTTGTTTGACGTACTGGATTATATGTTAGCCGTTCAAGACTGGTTCGGACATTACTAATAATGATGCTTTGTTGCTATTCCAAATAATCTCGGTCGCCTTCTCGATTGTCCAGTATGTTCCTAAAGGAGTGGGTCGCTGTCTCTCAATGGGTAACCAATGGCCTGCCAGGGGTTGCGCTGAGTCAAGGTAAGTCATCTCAAGAGAGCATTTGAGCGAGTTTCCCCGTCTTCTCTCCGACTCTTGGCCATATTATTCAGCGACTCTCGTCTTTGTCTTGCAATAGGCGCATCTCCATTCGTTTGCGACACTGTGTTCTTGTTCCAAGCGTGAGGGTAGCTCAGAGATTGCTAGATTGAGGTTTAGGCTCGACCATTGTGTTACAATAGAGAGACTAAGGGATGCAGAGAACGTACATCCTACGAAGGATATTTCCTTTAACATCTATCACGGGAACTTACTCTCGTTAGGGCCAAGCTTAAGCGGTACTACCAACGTTGAACCATTGAATATACAGGTTTGATTGTACGGCAACCTTTGGTACGACTAGCGGCGCTTCTCACCCTCCTTTACCTGACTAACAGATGACAAAGGTCAAGAAACCCATTCTGCGATGTTATTTTTATGGGTAGGTACTTCCTACCGCAATTGAAGTTGCTAATTATCATTCTGTAACTAGTTAGAAGGTCGCCGCGAATCTGATCATGCTTTCTAAATATCCACTCTACCAAGTAGCGACGTGAGACGCATCACAAGCTCGAACAATGAAGTAGAATATCCAGGATAACTCTCTACCCCGGGCCACACTACGGCAAAGGCGGCACCACTCCATGTCGAGGCTATTTGATGGAGCACCGGTGGCCGGTGGAGATCGACACGGAGCCTGCAGCAGGATGGGGGAGATGGACGCTTGTAGGAGCGTTAGTGTTGAGGGCAAATGCTCCGGGCCTTGAGCGGGCATAACCACCAGGCTCCACCTGCGTCCTGTACCCGGCTCTTTACTTTAACATCCCAGAAGCGTCGTCGACGAGTGAGCAGGCACTGTTCGGGCCAGTGGGCGAGATTTGCATGACATAACGTTCCAGGTACCGACCTTCGTGCAAATCATAAGAGCTGAATTCATTTCGATCGTTGCCGTTGTGTCCCCGCTGCCGAGGTTTTAGCGCATCGGATCGTGATGTAAGTACTGTATCTACCGATCAACTACCGGTGCCGGCGCCGGTGCCGGTTGGCTGTCGATCATGCCCATGATTCTGCAAGTTGCAGCCGATATCGTCACTATTTGCACCTGCGATGGTAGCCTACGTAAGGAGGATCCCAATCCGATTGAAGATGGACATGCATCACGACTAAAACGGCCAGAAGGCAACGACCTGCAATGTCACATCGGTACCCTTTCGGCAGCGCTGTCCTGCCGGCTTACTGGATTTGGCAAAACACCAATATATTGTCTCACCTCTCTGGAGCTCTTATCAAGATAAGAAATTAAAAATATTGCGTGAAGTTGTATTACCTGGTGGGTCTTAAGAGAATTGGCATCCTGAGGGAGGGGTGGCGTGACCATTGTTTCTTGTGCCTTGCGCCCTTGATGCCGCCCCATCTCACAATACTTAGTTTAGAACAGAAAGACTCATCACGCAATGGTCATCGATTTGTGCGAAAGAGACCATCGTAGCCAGAGCACCGATCTAGATTGTTTTATCGCAAACTGGAGAAGGACCAGCTACTTGGAACGTGACCAGCCCATCACGGGTGCTTTGGCTGGTTAAATGCCAAACCTCGGCATGCTGCGACTTCAAGGCCGAGGATCTGGAGCATGGGGGGCAGAAAGCCCCTTTGTAGTGATTGGTACTACGTCCTAGAATAAGGATAATTCGGGACCTGAAGTTACATGTCCAGTGATATCCTAAAATGACCATCAAGGTTGAAACCATTTTGGCGCGTGTGTTCAGGGTATTGCCCGCTATCGGCGAGTGCTCTGGTCATTATGATCCTGATCTTCACACGATGCCTGGGACATGGCCCAGTCACGAGTGCCAGTGCACGAGCCTTTCCTGCCCTGGAAGTCTAAGACACAACCTCATCCGCGTGCACTATGGGTGAGACAGACAGGCGGGTTTGACCGTGGGACCGTGGGATGCAGCACCTCTAGTTCTCGCGGGAGGACGCGTTATCTCAGCGCGGCAAAGTCCAATATCTTGGAAAGTGTCCATGTGCCCATCATTGCCAGTTCTCGGCTCTTGGGCCAAGACAGATTTCAGCCCGTGAGAGTGGCTGGGCATCCATCACATAGCAGCAATCCAAGAGTCCGACGGTGGCCACTGCTGCGTGTAACTCTTGGAGTGGTGGTGCAATGCGGGGGATGGCATGCCTGAATGCTTAGCCATCTGGCGATGCAACGCCCGACAGAACAGGGGGCCACTGCACATTGCACCAGATGAGATCATGACCAGCACCTCCTATCACATCACCTTTTAGTTTTCTTCCTTCATGTGGCCTTCTGCTAAGGCGGTGTGACTGCTCGTGTGTAAGGCTACTCTGTTCAACCTTTCGACGACCTCCTTAGTTCACATGGTTTCCTAAAACACCAACTCTCAACGTAAGCAGCCCATGAGCAGCCACTTGAAGATTTTTCCGGGATTTCCCTGTGGCGGAGCCACCTGAGCTCGCTGTGTTGTTCGCCAAAGTTCAAACCAGGCCCTCGGGCGTTGGGCTTTGCTTTAACCTGGACAAATGGGGATCATCGGAAGCGTGAGCTGTCAAACTTTTTCCGCGAGTGGTCCACCTCACCACCCCCCTTGGCTTTTCAACTTAGGGCCTTGGATGGATCTCCCGTCTGCGTCAAGACAACCACCCGGCACCTTCGTAAAGGTGCGTCAACCCATGTATGGCTGATGTGTTGCCCTACACTAGGGCGGTGGAGACTTTGAGGTGTGCGTGTGTAAGTGGATGATCCATGCATGTGCAATGGTAGGTAAATAAGCACCCACTGCCTCCGTGCGCTTCTCTTACCGCCATCGTACACGCATGTATGTAATTTACCTGGTGCGAATGCATGTACATATGTAATGTACATCCGGCTTTTCAAAAGATATATACCAGCTTGCTCTCCCGGGCATGACTCATGCTGACTCTGCTGCTCGATTAAATATCGACCATTGTCCAAGTGCCGCTACAAGCAATAAGCGACCTGACAACACCCCTACACAGGCTGGAGGCTCTGCCGACTTACACCACTCCTACACCAAAAGCAATCTATAACACGCCTCATTGAGGACATATCGACAATCAAAATGAGTTCACTTCCAATGCCGGTTGCACAAATGAGCCGGTCGTCGAGAAGGAATCGGCGGTCTGTGATGTCCACGGCTTCATTCAGTGATGACGATGATGCCATCACTCCGTGCCCGTCTCCACCACCAGCAACAGATGCGGAAACCCACACCAGACCATCGCAGCATCCTCTCCCTCTCAGCGCATCAAGACCTGATGCAGGCCGCACCCATTCCTCTGCGCCAACAAGCCTGCCTCAAGGCACCCATCATGCCGTTCCCCACTTGCGGCGAGGCTCTGCAAATTCAGATCAGTTGGAGGCATGCCGAGATAGCGTCTGGCATTTCGATCCCGCCGAGGGCAAGGCGATGGATGACGAGCGCCTGTGGCGCCGGATGCTTGCCATCCAGCGGACGTTCCACTGCTACAACAGTGCACGAATGAGTGCCGCGCTGACGGAACTCGAGATGGGTCAGGATGTGGGCCAGTTCGTTCGTGAGTAACCATTTCCTTCATTCATAAGCCTCCTTAGCAGGGTGGTCTTACAATGTGTTTCTTTCGACGCACAACACAGACAGAGATCACATGGAAACACCTGTGCGACTCAGTGAGTCGATTTGCGATTGTGGCGTTCGTCGTAAAGCTAATGATGTCTTAGCGTCTCGGACTTGTCTCGACCTCCTGAATGATAGCATCTCTGAGTTGCCCGAAGAGTTTAGGCATCAAATCGATTCTTGGCTCCACGGCAACGCAGCGAAGCGCATGTGAGCGGCCATAGAAAGCTTATCAGCATTCGGGCACTATTTGGAATGACGTGAGGTGATGATGATGACAATACATTTGGAGGATGACTGTACGAAATGGAAAAGTGCCTTGTTATCGTGTCGCATTTGGCGTTCACTGGAATGATACCAGCACTTGCCGCAAGGAAATCGGAGTTGCCAGATTGGAATTTGATACCCATCTGTATGTGTGGCACATGCGACCACTGCGCTGTAATTACTGCTATCTTAATATTAATGAATCGGTACTCAAGCCCAATTGTCTACTTCCGTACCCAGAATTTTCGTGCCAGAAATCCGTGACGAAGCTTTCTGCATGATACAAAACGCTGACCTGTCGCCACCACGATAAGTAGGGATTCTAAGAGCAGATGCAGGCACCAGGGCCACAGAGGTTTCTCGCCGAGATCACGCCGACGCCACCCATATTGTTCAGTTTTACATCGCAGCTGTTTATCTACTATAGACAATTCTTTACTCATTCTTCGAGAGTATCATAATTACATACTTTCGGAACATACAATCTCTCTCTCTGCACTGACACTCAATCCATCAATCATGCCGGCATTTTCAAAGCTGCCGCTCAGACCCGCCCGATCAACGACGTCAACATTGATAGCATCCTTTTGCCCATGGCTCGATAGCAGCTGATATCGCTTCTTGAGAAAGTCAATTTGGTTTAGTCCATTACCCTCACACGTAGTCGGTGCAAATAGCAATCACCAAGCTGGGCGGAGCCCTCAAGCAAAGCTCCTAACTTCAATTACTCGAATGCTTTGCATGCTTCTTGTGAGCACCGGGGACCGTCCTCACAGCCACGGTGTAGTTCTCCCCTGTCTGAGCAACAGCATGTACCAGGACGTCGTCGCCAAAAGGCCAATCGCTGTCCTCCTCGATGCTATCGCGCTCATCGTACTGTGCGAAGTCTGACTTTTGGATCTCCTCGCCTATAAGAGACTGCTTGGCAGCATTAATCGCGTCCGCCCGGTGCTCGTAGCTTCCTTCTACTTGTGTACTCTGCGCGGCACCAGCCCGGTCCCTGTTGTAGTCAACGGTAGTCTGGAGCACGTAATGCAGAGTGGCCTCGGGGGCTAAGAAGACACCGCCCTCCGGCGTAGCCCCAAGCTCCTCGTTGTTCGATGTCGCCTGTATGCCAACAAGGAATTCATGGCCCGCAGGCGCCTTTGCATAGACGAGCACGCCATCGCCGTGAGGCCACTCGCTTTCCTCCTGTGTTCCGCGGACTGCGTAGGTCGTGAAGTCATCCGGTTCATATCCTAGTCCGTGGAGCGCAGATTTGGCGAATGTTTTGGCTGCCGGGAGTGTACTATGTGTTCCAAGGACATATACTGTCCGCGTCGAGCCGGATGTATCATCTTTGTAGTCGATGACAGTGAGAGTTGTGTGATATAACAACTCCGGTATTCCGTGAGCCACCTCAGTAGATGTCATAGTTCCTGTTAAAGTAGACAGTTTTTATTATGAAGAGTTTAGTATTGTTTGATGTTTACTGATTGCTGTGAATTTGTTTCAAGTTTCGCGATGTTAAACAACCTCAATTGCAATTGGAGGAAGGAATAACGAGCAGATTATATAAGTTACGCAATAGCATTCACATGACGAGCCACTGTTGCTTACTGAGGCGACACATGGGGAAGCAAGGAAGTGACGGCGAGGTGAGTAAGGTCTGCGGCATTCTTGGTAGCCTCAACGCCGATGCCGCCGAGCTGTAACGGGACCTACGGAAGAGCTATTGGCCACACGGGATTGGCACACCAGTCTAGTTAAAAAGGTACTGCCTGGTTTCTTACCTTATATTTTGGAGGGATCTCACCACTCAGAGTTCAGTAACATGGAAAATGGCAGGCACAAACCTGTTGGTCCCGTTGTGTGACCTCAGCTCAGTAGATTCGACATCAAACAAGCGTTTCCCCGCATTTGCCTCTGGGCCGTGATAAAGTGTACTCCAGAATCATCTGAGCAAATCAGGAACACCTAGCAACATGGCTCAAAGAAGATTGTAGTCAAGTGATCAGGTCCACCATGCTCTCGAAGCTATTTGACAAATTGTGGCCACAAAAAGCGGGGATTGTTAGTTATAGCACTTCATTGACAGCATGCCTACCAGCCCTGGAAGTTGCCATAACCCATTAGGCCTGCCAGACTGGAGACGCAAGAGAATCGTTGGTTTAGATGTGGCTGTAGGCCGAGGTGTACCTTTCTTTCGTCATTAACCAATCACGCCACTATCGATCTCGAGATGTGGTGTGATCGCTGGCAATGCGCCTAGTGCTTTCAGTACCCGGACTCTCCAGTCACCCAACCCCAGTCAGCTGTTTGAGACATGAGGCTACGCTATACACGCTGGGAATCTCGTCGCGAGTGCCCCAAGGTTGTCAGTGGTCTGACAGTTGGGTAACCGCTGGTAGATGTTAGCCACCAATGAGGGGAATGCGGAGCCCCGCGGTAACACAGATCGGTGGTCTGGATGTCAGGAGAGATCAGGACTGGCTTGGAGTCATGGTCACGCTAGGCCTGGATCAGGTCTATGGTTTGCGAAATCGATGCACATTCAAACGCCACAAGCCCGTCCAGCCCGTTGTAAATTCGTGATCACCTTATGCTTTGGCCAACTTCTGAATCTCATGAGATTGTTCCTAAGTGTTCAGTGGATGGACTTGATTTATCCGAAAAGTCCCAATATGTTCACTTAGAACACTTCAGATGATCGAGCAATTGCTGCCTCGGATATTGGACAAAAGTTCCCACGGTGACTTGCATGCTCTTATATGGTAGACGCCAATAGCCGATTTATCTACTCATGGGGAGATTATCTCATATCTGGATGGGGTGACATGTATAGAGCCCGCAACCACAGTAGGACGTATTATATAAGTCATAGCAAAGTTATGTGACTAGTCTTGCGGAGCTCATACCTACCACTCTTGCAATCGAGCTCTGGTGGCACTTTCGAACCAAGTAGACTCATTTGATATCTTCTTAGGATATCAATAGGAAACCGTCAAACTGCCGCCGCCAAACACAGCGCATCCGACTCGGGAGCCTCGCCAGCCCGATTATAACCTTTTTGCAACAACTTTTGGCTTCCTCGCCCCGATTGATATCGAAACAGCATACGATCCATTATCTTTTGTGAATCCAACGGATCAAAATACCCGCGGAATGTCGGCCTATTTCACAACGCACCACTTCAGCCCGCGCTTCAGTTCGCCTCAGCACTCAACTGAGCCACATGCCATCACCAGCATTACATCCCCGACTGCTGGAGCTGCGGCTGGAACTTCAGCGGCACCTTCTCTACCAGCTGATGCGCATGCTCATCATGGTGGCTTAGAAGCTCTGGCCCGTTACCTTCATGCTTTCAACTCGCACTACACACACGGTCAAGCCAACCACGATGTAGTTCACCCGCATTTCGATCTTGCCGAGAGTAAGACATGCTATGCCGTGTACGGAGAGCTACCGGGATTGGAAACAGATGCTGTGAATGTGGAGGTCAACGACCATCTCTTCACAATCACTGTATCTGGAGATTTGAAACGCCCGCTCCCTCCAGGTGCCAGTGATGCTGCACCGAACAACGTCGGGGTGGTGCATAAAGATGCTCAGCCTTCACCGCCAGCCGAACCAGCATCCGCAGCGGCGGAGTCGTCAAAGACAGGAGAAGCTACAGCGCAAAAGGCTACGGAGACCGAGGGAGATCTTCGATGGCATGTGACTGAACGTCGTACCGGGCACTTCCGCCGCGCATTCCAGTTTCCTGTGGAGCAGGTGGATATGTCTGCAGTCAAGGCATCTATGCAGGCTGGTTTATTGACTATTGTGGTCCCGAAAAAGCAGAGTCGCGCCGAATTGGCAGCTGCAAGGAAAGTGGAGGTAGTCGAAGCCGGCGTAGACGGCCATGTTCTGGCTACTGTTGGGGTTTGAAGATACCACGAACGAGCGAATCACTTACAAATTGTAGAATTATGAGTGAAGGAGACCTAATGAGTTACAATATCATGAATCAGATATGGCAAAATACCAACAGTAAATGAATAACATTATACGACTCCTTCAGACAGAAGAATATATTTTCCTGATCACATGAACTTCAGGGCGTATTGCCAATCATCGCGATGATTCCGTAACACGAGCATAGCCTATTGAATTCCGTTGATCCGAGAAGCTATATTCATGACCCCATTGCCCATTCCGCTAGCCCCTTTGTGTGCAGCTCTAGAGTATCAAAGACGGGGACGCTGATATCCTCCGGCTTGAGAACAAATTGAAGATCTGTACAAGCTAGCACCACGGCCTCGGCACCCTTCTGGATCAGCTCGTCAAGGACCCGAAACATAAGGGCCTTAGTGTTCTCTGTAACGATACCTGCCCCGAGCTCTTTAAAGATGGCTTCATCCATGGCATCTCTGTCGCTCTTCTCGGGCACCAAGACTTCGACTCCGGCTGCGTTCGCTAGCGGATCTTTGATGAATCCAGCCTCCATCGCAGTACGTGTAGCTAGGAGTGCAACCTTTTGTAGCCTTTGCTCTTTGAGTGCTTGTGCCGTGAAGCTGGCGATGTGCAACACGGGCAAACCAACGCCATCTTCAACCTCTTTGGCGACTTTGTGACCGATATTGCAGCCAATGGCAATTCCGGTCACCCCAGCGGCCTTCATATGTCTCGCTGCATCAATGAATCTGTGCGCCACAGTGTCCCATCGTCCCGCTGCAAACAGGGCACTGATATCTGCGAAGTTGAAGCTGTGTAATACCAGACTTGCAGCTTGTGTTCCTCCACGGACCCGTTGGATATGTGCATTGATCTGACTGTAGTATAAAATAGTGGAATGATAGGTCATTCCGCCCAGTATACCGAGGGTTCTCATCTTGGTTTGTGTTGTGCTGGCTGGGCCGACTGCATATGCTAATCAACAAGGGTATGGGCAATGATACCGGAGCATTCGAGGGTGCAAGATTACGGCGTGGTGCAATGTCAGTCATCATTAGGGCGTGCTTGAAGCTAATGTAGCTCCACGGAGCCGAGAGCCGTAAGAGCCGCAGTAAGCTTAGGTTTGTCCCTGCACAACAACTGTACCTTCGTGGATGTGCACATTGTTTCTCATTACCACAAACTGAGTCTCCTATGCTGAAGGTGTAAGCTAGACCAAGTCCGCATCAGCATATCTTTGAAGATGCCAATGCTGCGCAAGCACGGCTGATAAACTCGGATTTCGCTAATTGACCAGCTCGGACAAGTTCCCCTCCCTTGGTAAATCCTAAGCCCCTGTTTTTACCGTGCCAACGGTAATGACCTTCCAAACCGGGAACCCTTGGTTTGTCAGTAGCGGCGGACCCTTTATCATCGTCTTTCGAGCTGGCCTCTCTCTCTCTCCGTCTTCTTGTCAATCTGCGGAGTGGTAATGAGAATTGTTGCTGGCACGAAAATTCCGCGATGTCGCCTTCAATTGAACAGGACTGGGAACTGGTGCCCTCGGCCACTGACACCAATGCTGCATCAGCAGTGAGATCCAAGACCAATTCATCAGACCTCGGGCCACAGCGAATCTACTCAACGAGCTTGGGCATAGCCATTCGGACCAGGCCAGCTAACTCGGAGGCTTCTCTCCATGCCAAGATTACCACAAAGAAGAAGTTCTTTACCATTATCAAAGCCGGCCTTCTGATTCCTGGAGATGGCGAGCCCTTTTCCGATGCGGCCCTTGTTGTTGAGAATAAGGTTATCGCCTGGGTCGGCGCTGAAGCCAATCTGCCTCAAAAGTACATTGATGCTCCGCATCGAAGCTTCTCTGTTCCCTACCTTATGCCTGGACTCTGGGAATGCCATGCACACTTCGCCGGTGACGGTCCCGGAAACGATGGCGACAGCTACGTAGGGTTCCTGACTCTCCACCCTTCAACTGGTGGTGCTCGTTTGGCTCGAGGTTGCTGGGAGGCCATCCAGCGCGGCTATACGTCCATGAGAGACGTAGCGGGGTATGGATGTGAAGTAGCCAAAGCCATTGAGGATGGCACAATCGTCGGCCCCAACGTCTACAGCTCCGGCTCGTGTCTAAGTCAGACCGCCGGCCACGGCGACATCTTCCCGCTGCCCGCTGGTGATGTTCTGCTCAACTTTGGCGTGTCCAACATTACACCGGGCCACTTTGCCACAGGCATGACGATCATCGTCGACGGCGTGGATGAGTGCCGCCGAGCGGTCCGTCTGCAGATTCGAAGAGGTGCAAAGTGCATCAAGATCCTCGCATCAGGCGGAGTAATGTCGCGCGATGACAATCCATTATATGCGCAGTTCAGCCCTGAGGAACTCGAATGCATCGTGTCTGAGGCATCGCGGCAGGGCCGATCAGTGGCTGCACATGTGCACGGCAAACCCGGCATTCTGGCAGCCGTGAAGGCCGGCGTCACTACAGTGGAGCACGTGTCATTTGCAGATAAGGAATGCATTGACCTGATCAAAGAGAAGGGGACAATATATGTCGCAACGCGGTTCGTCCTCGACATGTTGATACAGAGTGGCGGAGAAGGTCTGACCAAAGAGAGCTGGGAGAAGGCCAAGCTCTGTGCAACCAATCATTTGACAGCCTACAAAATGGCCATTGAAGCAGGCATACCACTCGCCATGGGAACAGATACTCCGCCAGGCTTCAACCAGGCGGTTGAGCTGGAGCATGCTGTGAAGGCAGGGCTGAGCAACCTAGAGGCGATCAAAGCAGCGACGGCCAATGGCCCACTGACTGTTGGGGCCCAAGCACCAAAGACAGGGCAGCTGAAGGCAGGTTACGAGGCGGACTTGCTTGGCTTGACAGAAAATCCGGTGGAAGATGTCAAAGTACTGCAAAACAGGGACATCATTCAGTGGGTTTGGAAAGGCGGAAAGATCTTCAAAGGTCCTGGTATTGGGCCGTGGGGTGAGGAGTGATGGACAAAAACTGCAGAGACATGTAAGCCAGACATCATATCATAGTGTAGCAAAGTCCATCCTGTTTGTCAATAGTGAGGAAATCAGTCTATCCGAATTCAGTTGACGTGTCTGAAGGTTCTCTTTGAATACTAATTCCTTGAAACCTAAAGGTATTCTACTGTGACGCTCCAACACCGTTATTGCCAAGGCTCGACCTTACCACTAATTCGTCGTGGCATACGACATGGAAGTGCAGACTATCTTGTAGCAATATATACTGAATTTAACGTTATTCACGTGTCTGCGCCGTGCATAAGTAGGATAAATACGATTTCTCGCAGACCGGCGCTTGTGAGATGAAGATACGTTCCTCACGGTATGTGAAGATCATCTGGTTCAGGTGAGTCGGCGATTTAACCGAGGGTAGGCGTTGATAAACATTCGAGACATCTAGCGGTGGATTAACATGTTGAAGATTGATCTGTGCGCTTTCTATTGTTTCCCTGGAGTCAGTCGGGTGTGCTATTGCGAGCAGACACAACGTGTCGAGTTCGACTCACCAGTGTCTTGTTCTGGCCTCGTCGACCTTCTCTTTTTGCATCGGTGTACGCAATCTGACACGAATTTTGCAATTGTGAGGATTGAAGCAATGGCTCCAATTGCTGCAAAAGAGATAGATGCAATAACTCTAACGGATGAAGCGGTCATGGTCTTGGGTTGGTGCTTCGGAAGGCCACGAGCATCTGGGGTTACTAAGCAATTTGACGGACATTTCGACCACGTATAATTTTGATTGTGGCGAGATCATTGATTCTTATGTTCATTAGATTAACGCCTCTGGCATGAACGACAACATCCAGAAACTGTCAGTAGATCAAGCAGGACTATGGCCTCTGACCAACTGTAGAGAGTATGGCATCTGATGGCTTAACAACAAGATCTAACAAAACTCCTCAACTCCCAATCACATTTGTATCAACGAAAGGTTTTTAGCTGTTAGAGGATACCGCCCCCAGTCTGCCCTGATATTCGCCTCTTATCGGCCACGGATTTATGAGATGGCCAAGCCACTTTGCTGAACTATATTCCCACACTGGTTCGAGAAGCTCTTGTAAAGTGTGCAAAAGTCGCTCAATCTGTCTTTAACCAACTCTTCTGTATATTCATCCTTGCTCAAGTAGTCGACATCGACGCCAAAGGACTTGAACGCCTCGACTCGCTCGTGTCTCTCCATGAGTGAGAAGTTAGCACCGAGTACTTGCTGGCAAAATCGCATAGTGAGAACAGCGTGGGAATTCCCCAGGGATCGGCGAAGCTTCGGAAGCATTTCTTGAACTAGAAGATGATTGTCAATGAGAAAAGTCATTGTTAGCTGTTAGATATGTCGGGGTGATTTACTCTCTCGCAAATCTTTGCTTTTTGTCTCGCTCTCGGCACGTTTGGACTGCCCTTCCTTGATCAAATAAGTCGAGGAGCCACCCAAGAAACCTATACCTGATCCTATTGCTACCTTGGTCCCTACCGTGACGACATCCGTTGCCCCGACGCCCGCGGTCGTAGCCCCCACGATACAGGCGGCCATTATCAACAGCAAGCCAAACGTAGCCACGCGCCCAGAATTTCTTTTATCATGATTATGTTTGTCGAGAATGAGCGTCAGAGCCTCGTGCATTTCATCCTGCAGCGGCGCGAGAATGTTCATGGCGATGGAAATGCTGACAAGAGTTTCGTAGAGGTCCTGGTCGCTGATGGCTTTGAGATGGTATAGGAATTAGAATGCTGAGAAAATAACACGCCGGGTTAAGGTCAGATAACACTCACCTTCCCCCTTGACAATCCTCTGGAGATATGTATCGACGCCAAGCGCAGCTGAGGTGAAGAACTGAAACAGGTGAATGGACTTGTGGCAAGCGTTGACGATGTCTGGTGTTGCCCATGGCTTGTCGGCACCTCTGCCAAACTGCTCTTGAAGCTAGACAGATTTCGGTCTGTCAGGAGTGAAATCACAACAATGGCAGATGATGACGAACTCACAGCTTTCCCGATATCTGATCCAAACAAGATCTTCTCTGCGTCTGTGATTACTGCTTGGTTCGAGTCCCGGAACGGCTGAAGGGGCTGGATACATCAGTGAGTCTGAGCATGATTGCGATGCAGATGGCGAGTGTGTTGCAGCGAGAGTGCTTCAAGTGTGGGACTCACCACAGAACTTTTAGCTCCATCAGAGTTCGACATCTTGGCACGGATATTTTCTAGTACTTCGGTCATAGAGCCATATCTGAGGTATAATGAAGGCATCTTCTTCACCTCCTCGATGACATCTAGCACAACAGCTGCGCCCCGAGGTAGATTGGCGACAACGCGGAACCTAAATTATTGATGTCTACGTTAACATACCATTAGGACTCGAGAGATAGGGAGGATGGGGATCAATCTCAAAGACTCACATGTCTGCAATCGAGCCTGACTCGGTCGGGAAGGTGGGTCTCGCGTCTGGGCCAGCCGGGAGAGGCAAATGTCTCTTGGTTCGGATGAGGGTGCAGAGTCTCTTGGTCTCAGCGTCAACGCGGACGTATCGTCTTTCGCTGTTGACCGGAAACACGTTCATATAATGTGGGACGGTACTGATATCTTTGAAAAACAACCCCAGCGTGGGTTCAATGTCTATGAAGAACAGTCGTCGCAGATCGCCCACATGATCGGGCCCACAATAGCGAAGATGCACCTAGAGAGTCGGGAGGCATTGATGTCAGCAACCGGTCAGAAATCGAAAGAAAAAAGAAAAAAAATCTGACTCGTAGGGCTTTGCGTACCTCAACAGGGACAAAATCGTCTCGATACTGGTTGCTTGGCTTCACAGGCTCAGCGGACCAGTGGGATGAGTCGAGTTGGTTGAGGCGAGTGGCCAGGGCTTGGTTGTCTCGCAAGTTGCGTCCGCTCTGCGTAATGTGCCATACTTGCATGTGAAACTTGAACTTGAACAGCTGGCCGCTGACGCTGACGCTATTCTCGTCTGAACTTGAATTAATGTTGGCGGGAGGCGCGTGTTGGAAAGACAATGTTACCATATAAAGGCTCAACAAGTCGGACGAGGCTGCTGTAGCCACGGTTCACACTTGCAAGTGTGAAGTCGTCGATCAAGAAGTCTAGAGGGATGAGGGAAGGCAGGCCTGGCTGATATCCCAACTCCGTTGCCATGCACGCGCCACTCAGAGCCTTGTGCCTCGCCATAGACACAAACGCCGTGGCTGAAAGCTGAGACACACATTTGAATGTATAGCAATAGATGAAAGAAATCGAGCAACCGCAAATGCTGGGAACACGAATGGTGGTTGGAGGAAAAGAGGGGTTTAACTTTGTGGCGTACTTCTACTTGAGCCCCAAAACCCCTACCTAACCTCATCCCTATCCCTTTCTCCGACCTACCACCACTACCAACTATTCAACGCCTATCCTATCTGGACCTAAGGCCTTAAGTCCGAGACTTTTAAAGCATCTCTCTCTCTCTCTCTCTCTCTCTCATATGGACCGTTGTGACCCTCCGAGCAGCCATTCCGAGTCGGAAGACATGACGCTTTTGAACGCTCGAAATCGCAGAGCTGGCGAGGCTACGGGTGGATATCTGGGCAGCAGTACCGAAATCCCGTTACCATCCAGACAAGGTTGTGATGAACCCGACGTCTCTGACCTTTGGTTGTATTTCGAAACGTACCGACACTCAGCTGCGTATTATCTAAACCTCTACTTTGAGGCCATGGACCGGATTGCGATAACCTCCAGTTCATGGGACACGGGTGGAAACCCACCAAACTCACCTGACGGTATGTGCGCTAAACAGACGCAGTCGCTTCGATCCGGTATCGTATCTGACGCTTGCGTGAATCACGTAGCATTGGCGAGGAGCTCATCGTCATCCAGAGCAGAAGAACAGGAGAGAGAAACAATGCGCCTGAAGATCTACACCGACGCCTTGATGCGCGACCTTATCGCCATGGAAGACGCCCTCACACGTGCACAAACAATTCACAACTCCACAAAACCTGTTATCCTCTCGCTGATTCCTATCGTGTGGTAGGTCTGGTTTCGGCCCAACGGCTCTCCACTCACGCGACAAGGAGAATGAGTGCTCACGCAGATAGTAGGACCGTCGGGTGGACCCTCTCCGCCATAGCAATGCCAGTGAAAGCTGTAGTTGGCGTGTCAGTGATCGGAGCTCTTACCGGCGCTGTGGCGCTTGCAGCGCCCACGGTTTGGCACGCTATTCGGAGCAATTCTCTCGAGCAGACAGTTGTCTCACTGAGAGTTCTCAAGAATGCTGTGGCAAATGGGTCGGATCTGTCCATATATCACGGCTATCTGGCCCGCGAGAAGTTTGCCACCCTCGAGAAGGTCACCGCTGAGATCAAGGCCAACTGTCAGCTTGTGCTGGGATCTTGAAGTCTAGGAGGTCAAATTTTGGGATTTATCAATGCAGGCGATCGGTATTTAGGTGTTGAGGCGTCCTCACAGGCTACACTGATACACTAGGACATTGAAACCCCCTGGTATTGATACTAGGCAGTTGCTTTTCTCATTCTATTTACGGTCGTGTGATACGACTTGCTCACGTTCAAGCATCTACCTAAGTTCGAGATGTTGAGGTACTGCAAAACAAGGGCGTCATTCAGTAGGTTTGGAAAGGCGGAAAGATCTTCAAAGGTCCTGGCATCGGGCCATGGGGCGAAGATTGATTCAACCAGAACTCAGAGATCAATGTAATTTAATTATCAGGCAACTGAACGGCTTTGATTTCACTCTGTTGATCAGCAGTCAACACAGCTGTCTATCCGAGATCGAACAAAATGGTCTGAAAGTTCACTTCGAAAATGTATTTATTGAGATACCGAAGATGTCGAGATGTGAATTTATCGACGTGGGTGCCTAAACCTGGGACTACGACTGAGCCTTCGTCTAAATTTACACGGGAAGATAGGGGTTGGTAATAGTAAGGTGTCCTGAATCTAGTGTCATTCAGACTCCTGTCCTTGGGTGTAAGCTATATAAGCCGCCCCTGTTACGAAACGAAGATGGTGAGATACATATACGTTCCTCACGATATGTCGGGATGATCCGGCTCAGGTGAATCGGCGATGTCAACTGAGGGCAGGCGTCGATACGGATTAGACATTGCCGACGATGGACAAACTAGTTGAAGGGCAACTTCTATATCTTCTATTTTGACTCAGGTCAGCCTCGTGCGGGGACTGTAATTGTATACAATTCTCAGCAATGCTCAAACAATGGCTCACCTCTGCTAGGTACTTGCTTTGACGTTCTCTCTTTGCAACACTGTATGCAGTCAAGCATCAGTTTGGCAATTATTATAAATGTCCCAAGCGCTCCGATTACTCCAAAACATATGTAGGCAACAAGCCAAGCCGATGTAGCGGTCATAGTCCTGTTTTGCGTGTAGGGGAGCCCAAGAGTGTCTCTGATAACCAGGCGAATTCACAAAATCATACATTTATACAGAGATGTGAGTGTAGCGGGTTCATGGATTCTTATAGTGCCTAAATCAACTAATCTTCAGAATGTGCACAAACGTCCAAAGGCTGTCAATGGGACAAGCAGGAGTATGGCCACCTCATCAACTCCAGACCGTATGGCTCAGGTGATGCTACCATTAAAAGCCAGGCCCAACCGGATTACTGCAATAACCGCCGACATAATGAAATCGACTATCTTCAGTCAATTGACGCTACGCGCCGTGTGCTCTGTTCCCTCTTCGCCATCCTTAGGGGTCACTGAACTGTTTGGAGGAGGTTTTGGTAAGAGCAGGGCGACATTGGAGTACACACCATTCGCTTAGGCAGGTACAAGCTCATAAAATATTTACGATCATTGGCCAGGCTCTTGCAGAGCGCTAGAAGGAGGGCAAGAGTGGTCCTACTTCTTTCATGGTGTGGAGATGGAGGCGGGCGCTGAGGTCGTTAGTACAAAGGCTAAATCCACCATACTGTGAAATCACACCTCACACCTGCCCCTAGTGTTACCCATCACACTTGCCTAGCGTAGTTTGGCGAGGAATCGCGAGAGTTATAACACCACTAACTGATCGTGGACTACTCGTTTCCCTGCCCATGTTGCCGTGGCGCTTGATGTACGGATACAATTTCTGCCTAAAGCCATATCCTTGATGCTGGGGTCAAACTTACATCCATCATGGTCACGGCAGCAAATGGGTGAGCTATTGTCGACAGCATTGTAGCGCTCCCTGGGCGGACTGTATTCCTTATATGATCAATAATTATACTAGCCAGATTGGCACATCCTATGATTGGGGTCGCTCTACGTTTAAGAATAGTCTTTGAACTAGAGCAAGCAACTTAGAAGTACGGAACGATTACAGAATCACTCATTTCTATCATTTGGTAGATACCTTATATTAATTTATAAATCTATTGCTGAATGTGTTATAGGAGGATAAGACGTTGAATACTTCAGGGGCTAATAGGTCAAAAGCAGGCTTATCAAGAGTCCAAAGAGACGCGACTTCTATCATGGATTGTATGCTAGACAGTAACTGCATGAGTAACACTGAACAGTTGCCCCTTCATTCTGTAAAGTTATCCTTCTCTAACCCTAACATGTTGATAACATTTCCCTTCACCATTCGAGCTCATATTTACAAAGGCAATAATACGGAGACCGTCATAGACTCTAGATATTATATCTCCCACTTTTGTGCGTCTACCCCAACTAAGCGTAGAAAAACGTTGCAAATATACAGGATGTATTAAAGTCTGTAGAAATAATTTCTAAGTTTATTAAATACTCTATATAAAACCATGGTCAAACTATTGAAATTTTGCGAGTAGAGCCGGTATCCGAAAATAGTTTATATTAAGTTTTGTAACAATAAGATGCGAACAGACCGCGCTAATGGAGACATTTCTTTCTTTCACTCGACTTGCTGCGGCAGTATAATTCATTCACATTGAGGCATCTAATCCAATTCAACAGAATCCCCAAAGCACTTGGCGAGCATAGCGCTGGGATACCGGGAACCTTTGGCACCACCAACAGTCTCGATTGCCTTCCTGACACGGAGCTCGTCTTCTTTAGTAAAGTGCACATCAATAGCACCAACATTGTCCTCCAGATACTTGACATGCTTTGTTCCCGCTATGGGGATGAAATCTGCACTGGTTAGTTTATATCACTGCACTATAATCTGGTCACGTACCGTCACCCTGAGCAAGCACCCAAGCAAGCGCCAGCCGGCTAGGGGTAGTGCCTTTTTCTTTGGCGAGCGCCGACAACGTCTCCACCAATCTCAGATTGTCTGCGAAGTTCTCTTCTGAGAACCGAGGATGGTTTAGGCGGTTGTCACCCTCGTCAAAATCGGCCCGGCTCTTGATAGTCCCTGTCAGAAAGCCGCGGCCAAGCGGTGAATAGGCCACAATCTTGACACCCAGCTCCCTGGCCGTAGCGAGGAAGTTTGTCTGCTCCGATTCAATTTCCAAGGCAAACGGGGAGAACTCCATCTGCGCAGCGGCGATGGAATGGACCGCATGGGCCCGACGGAGAGTACGTGCGGAGCACTCCGAGAGGCCTAGATACCTGATCTTGCCCTCGGCCTTCAACTGTGCCATTGCTTCGACCGTCTTCTCGATGGGTGTGTTGAAGTCTACCCGGTGCTGATAATAGAGGTCCACGTGGTCGGTGTTCAGTCTCTTTAGGCTGTCACTCAACGCCTGCCTCACGTACTCGGGCGACCCATCAATGGTGGTCTTGTCAGTGACAGTGTCATACTTGTTGCCGAACTTGGTTGCCAGGAAGATCTCGTCTCTGCGCCCGGTCTCCTTGAACCAGCGACCGATGAGCTCCTCGTTGGTGAAGGGCCCATAGATGTCGCTTGTGTCCCAGAAGGTGATGCCCAGGTCAGCAGCGCGCGTGAGGACTCTGAGTGATTCCTGGTCGTTGTAGCCGCCAAATGACGAGTACTGGTGAGTCATGCCCATGCATCCCAGTCCTTGTGCCGACACGAGGGTGTCCCCAAGCTTTCTCTGCGGATACTTTGACACTGTCATCCTGAGGGGCATGCGGGAGCCTGGCAGCTGCTGTCCGATATGCCAACACGATGATGAATCTTGAAGCCGACGACTCTGTCTCCGCGCCGTTGGGAGGAGGAAGTAGAGAAGTAATGAAAGTCTAGCCAGGGTTGGTCCTGCTGGTTGCTCACAAATGATGCTTATATCAGGCGCAAAGAGCACCGTTTGTCACTGGCACTGACACTGAGACCGCGTTGCAAGAAGAGCCCGACGGTCATATCCCTGAATGCGGACAGACAAACCAAGTTGATGCCTCAGCCTTAGCCTTATACCCACAGGTAGCAGCAGGTGCCATGATATGTGAAGGTGGAGAACAAGCACGCAAGGAAGTAGCGCCTCCACTAGGTACCTCGGTACCCGAACACGCAATATAAGCTCTCACAGATTCTAGGTACTAAAGCTAATTAGGTACCAACCCAGCCTGTGGGGGAAGGCGCGGTAGGGCAATGAGGCGGCTTCCTCCTATCTCGGACGCCGGGCACCAGTTACGTGAACTTAGGTAATTATTCTCCTTGAGTAGGTACTCAGGTACTTGACTGTCTGCTGGCCGGTGGCCCCACTTGCCACCTGGCTACCGTGTTTCCTTCCTCGTTCGCCGAATTTCCCTTTTGGGATACCTACCTCTTCCCCTCCCCGGCCCGCCCCTAGGCTACCATCTACCTTAGCTAAGAGTGAAGGAGAGGCGGGCATGGGACAATGATACTCACGTGGATTCAAAACCAAAATGAGGTGCTCCCATTCTCATTCACTGAGCCAGAGCCAGAGCCAGAGCCTCATGTTGTCACGCGTACCTTATTACTCATCACCGCCGTATTGATCCGATCCACGCACTCGTCTGAAGAGCCAATTAAAGGTCATCCCTTGTGTCTCGTCCTGCAACTACCGTCTCAGCTGCTCCGGGTATTTATTGAGTGTGATCGTAATTTCTTTCTCTCCGTCAGGCAGGCTGTCCCACCAGATAGCTATCTCAAGGAGGTACAATCTATCGTTCTCGTCTCGCTCCATTCCTGAGGTCGGCATTTCCCAGATCCCGTAACTTATCTACTCAGTCTGCTTATCTCGTCACCTCTCGCCATCCATTTCGCGAAAACCCTCACTGTCGAGTTGAATCCATCATATCAACCAGCCCCAAGCAGAGACTCCTCGATCTCTACTGATCCGTTTTCTTGCACCTAAAAATCATCTCTGCGGAGGATGACATGATCCTCTCGAAAATGCTTTCTCCCTTTGTCAGACTCGCGGCTGGTCTAAGCAACCTGTCCTCCGCCTTCTCTCTCCCACAGGTCTTGAGCTCCACCTCCGCCCTCGCGACAAGTCGGATTGCCGTCCCTGCGGACATAGACGAGCTTGTTGATGTCGTGCTCTTGACCATGCCCGCCGACCCCCAGTGGGACTACCGGTTTCCTTACAGGCTGCAATATCCCGAGGAGCATCGCAAATATACCAAAATGCTCTGGGAGAAATTCATCGATCCGGCCTACGACGATTGGGTGGTCCAGGTCGTAGAGGACAAGCTCCCCGGCGCCTCAAAGCCCGTCCTTGTCGCATTCTCCGTGTGGAATGTGTCATACCTAAACAAGAGAAAACATGGACCTTCATACGAACCCCAAAGCCGTGAGTTGTTACCTACCAAGCCCAGTACCCCAAGGTATCATTTTCTCATTGATAGTTCATGGCCTAAATTGCTCTCCCTTCTCACACCCATTGATTTTTGTTAGCTCCCCGCGAGGTAGCCGAGAACGGCGGCGCAACTCGAAAAGACGCCAACCCAGCGCACGTCCGAGCCTTCAAAGAATCGAGTGATGAGTGTGACAAGAAATACCTCGACGTGTACGGAGATGACCAGCTCATACTCCAGATCCTTGGTACCCATCCCGACTACAGACGGCGCGGGCACGGCACTACCCTGTGCAAGTGGGGGATGGATCTTGCTCGCCGGGACGGCGTCGTCCTCACACTACAGGCCAGCCCTTTGGGCCGGCTTCTCTATAACAGTTTGGGGTTTACAAACCTCGGCGAGTGCGTGATGCAAGTGCCAGGAGAGGACGAATACGTACCTTTCTGGGCTATGGTCTGGCCTGCCCAAAGGGCGGAGCTGTAGAGGCCTATAGGCTTGTCGCTCTGCTCAATCATCTTGTAATGACAGCGACAAGAGGGGTCCAAGGGACTTAACCGGTTATACCGTTGCTTTAGCAAGCTGGGAGACTTTGGAAAGATTGTAAATCAAAACATCGGTCAAAAATCCTCACTATCACTGACATCTTAAGTGTCTCTACCCGCTTGTGCTAACTGTGAACAATATGTACTACTACTCTTACTCAACTTCTACTCTTGCTGCTTGTAGACGTCGGAATGCTTGAGCTTGGATCTGAGACTAGGTTCGAGATCTACTCGATAATATCTTAGACAGGTTTAGTCAAACTGAAAACGTGGCACGACGAAAATGTCGGAGGCATGGATCGGCTTCTATGCCCAAAAGAATTGACCGCATTGCCGGATTAGGAAGATTACTGCGGCATTACTTAGTTATCAAGCCATGCGGCCTCATTCCCAGTCGAAAGTCACAAAACGACCAAAGGTCTTCAGAACACAGTGGGCTTTCCTCGGGGCTGCCCTAGCATGTTCTGCCGTTTTCCTTTTTTTTTGGCTCACTTTTCTTGCCCGGCTTTTCTCACCGGAGTTCCCTTTTTGATCAGCGATATTCCCCTTGCTCTCCACCGTGTTCCTGCATCCAGATCCCCGTCTTTCACCCAGCTTGCCGCATTCCAAACTCCTCACACCGTGTTTCCCAGTTACTACTATGATAAATCACGGTGAGCAGATGTCCCATAGGAGATGTAACTCAGGAACAGCAACACGGTCACAGGTAGGCGAAGGACATGGAATATAAGAATGTCTTCTCTTTACTATAGTGTTAGACAACATAGATAAACATATCTTATGCAGTTCGTGTTGTTGAATGCATAGATAACGCACATCAAACACGAGCAAGTCGAGTGCAACCGCCAGAGTTTATCAGTTACTGGACTTGTCAAAAAGCCATCAATGTCTCGAACTACGAAGAACAAGCACGAAATGGACCCTCTCACCAATCAGAGCTGGGGCTCTTGTGATGTCGAGTACTACGGGACCACCGCCATCAGTGGAAATCAACCAGCAAGTGCGGGGTCTCTGCCACCGGGCGTCTCGCGGAGGCTTTCCGACAAACAGACCAACGCTTGCGTAGGGTATGTGCACTCGGTTACTCGCCCCTTTCCCGGACTTTCTTTTGCTCATGTTATTGCAGAACAGGAAGTCTGACCTTAGACACTCTTAATGGTCTAGCCGCTGAGAACAACAATCAAGGCATGCCAGTGATGATGGAAAGATGGCTGAGAATGGAGGATTTGTACTGGCGCCTGTGGGGTAGTAAGAGAGGAGAGCAAGGGGACCATCAACAGAACCAGCAATACCCCGGTTCGTATGCAGCAAGCAATCAGCGGCCCATTACTCCTTCAGCTGCTGCATCTGAAGGCAACAAAAACCGCCCCCGGCCTGAACGAAAGTCGGGTTGATCAGTTGCCCGAAACCTTTTTCCCTGCAGGTCCACACGTGCCTTTATCATATCCATGTATTTTAGAAGTGTCGTAAGAATCTTATCCGTATAAGAATTGCAAAAATACCCTTTGCTACTGTGATCCCAGCTGCTGTTGAGGGCCCCCGGCAAAATGCATTCTTTGAAAGCCGAACCATATGAATACAGCGCTTCAGAAGCCTTGCTTCTGGTCATGCGGAACAAGCTCTCTATTGAGCACTACATACAGTCACTCCTGTCAAGGATTGAACTGAAAGATAGCCAGGTCAACGCATGGGCTTACTTGGATAAACAAGCTGTTCTGGAGGAGGCTCGGAAGCTAGATCGCCTTCCTATAGCTGCTCGGGGGCCTTTACATGGACTGATTGTTGCCGTCAAAGATGTTATTCTGACAAAAGGTACCTTAGCTTGGCCACATGGGCTCTATTTGTTTTCACCTGTCGCCCTCAACATCGCTAGCTGTCGTTCGATGCTAATCAAGCGGCACTCGCCCAACCTACTTAGACATGCCCACTGGCTACAACTCGGGCATTTACACAGGTAGCACAGCAACATCAGAAGCATCATCGGTCAGCATTCTGAGGGCTGCAGGAGCGCTGATATTCGGTGAGCAGCCTTTCCAAGCCTCCACCCTTGCTCAAAGTTCTCATCAATGAAAATCAGGGAAAACCACGACGACCGAATTCGCTGCAACGGACAATGGTCCAAAAACCCGTAATCCACACGACGTAACCCGGACTCCAGGAGGCTCGTCCTCTGGATCCGCGGCTGCAGTAGCAGATTATCAGATTCCCGTCGCCCTGGGGACGCAAACAGGAGGTAGTATCATTCGACCTGCGTCATTCACCGGCGTGTATGGAATGAAGCCTACATGGAATGTCGTTTCAGCAGAAGGGCAGAAGACCTTCTCGGTTATATTCGACACGATTGGATTCTTTACGAGAACGACCGATGATCTTCAGCTTATCGCCACTGCCCTAGGAATCAAGGATGACGAGAAAGCCAACGTGCCACCATTCAAAATCAGGGGTGCCAGGTTCGCTTTTGTGAAGTCTTCTGCCTGGGCGGAAGTCGGACCAAGCACAAATGCGGTTCTAGAGACAGGTATCCGGCTGCTAAGGGAGAAAGGCGCCCAAATAGAGGAGGTTACCTTGCCACCCGCATTCGGCAACTTGTCCAAGTGGCACACAGTGATCATGTGCAGCGATGGCCAAGCGGCATTCTACAACGAATATCTCAGGTCGAAGGAGAAGCTTGATGAGCAGATCATTGAAATGGTGGAAAACTCAGATGGATACACTCGGACCGCTCAATTAGCTGCTTTCGACGGCATTGCATCGCTTCGGCCACAATTTGACCTGATCGCAAACCAATATGCTGCTATAATCACACCTAGCGCAGTTGACGAGGCACCAGTTGGTGAGAAAACGGGCCGTGCAATATTCAACACGTCTTGGACGGTACGTAAGCGAAGAGTGCTACCCTGACCGGTAGAATTGTTCTCGCTGACAATACAGTGACAGGCACTACATGTGCCAGTGATCAATATCCCGGGCCTGAAGGGGCTAAATCACCTCCCTGTAGGCATATCAGTTGTCACTGCAAGATACAGAGATATGCATCTCATTCGCGTTGCGCGGGAAGTCGGTAAGATTTTCAGGTCATATGATGCTCCAACAGCTCGGTTATAGGAATAGACAGTCCTGCCCGTAGATTCAACCGAGAATACATTGAACATTGTTTCGCGATAAACGTTGGAGTGTAAAATGAAACAATAGAATCGTCCATAAGATTGAACTGTAAGCTAACGACACTCTCAAAAGCGATTTCGCCTCAATCTTAGCTTATGCTCATCATAATTTCATACTAGCCATGGCATAGAAAATCATATCAAACCATCAAACCCGTAATTTGCTTTCAGGCAGCAGAATCCATCCTCAGGAAGTAGAAGAATTTGGAATCACAGTGACTAAAGATCGGAAAGGATCAAGGGAAAACATGAAAACAACCTTTCAAAGAAGCGAACACATTTGAGCGAATGGAGAACTAAGCCCCTGTGCGAGCCAATTGTCGTGCAAGTCATATCAAGAATCAGTTACACTTCATGCGACGCAAGGTACCGCGAGTCTGTGGCGGTGACCGTTCAATATCCCACACTGGGTTTCTACGAAACTCGCTTTCCCCATAAATTTCGAAGCTAGACTCCTCGAGCGCGAGAGGAGTTGTCCAGGCATGGTCATCGCTCTTGAGCCAAAGACGGATGAGGTGGCGCTTGCCACTGTCATCATCGATGAAGCTGCTGCGAGCATGCATAAGAGCGTGGTTGTTGAAGATCTCAAGATCGCCTCGCTTGAGCTTGAGTTCAATGGCGTGCTTCTTGGCAATGAAATGTACCATGTCCAGTGCCTCCGCTTGAACTTCAGTCATTGCAGGGACACCGGGGAAATGTGGGCAGAAGTACGCGCCTGTCAATGGGCGACGGGAATAGGAAAATCCTGGTCCGTGCCCTGGGAAATCATGAAGTAATGCCATCTTGTGATAGTCGCCTTCATGAAACCTATACATGTAAGCCTCAACATGCCTTGATGGTCACAGTGACCAGAACTCACTCGTCGAACACCCAGTCATCCTTGATCAGAGTGTGAATAACATCGGGTCTCTCCTTGGCAATCTCGTTGTAGATCTTAGCTGAGGACGCAAGAAAAGATTCGCCCCCCATGGGTGCAACGTCCATAGCGTACAGAGCCAAAATATCACAACGGTCGGTGTGGAATGGCTGAGAGAAGTGTTATCAGTGATGATGCCTAGTATTTGTGAGGTATACGACATTACCTGAGTGCGTGAATGGTACGGCGAGAAAGGGCCGCGCTTTCCATACTTGCGAAGTTCTTCCTGAATGTCCTGAATGTGGACTAGCACCTAGTCAGGATGGGCCCATCACATTGTAACTTTGAGTAAAACTGGGGCAAGATGCCTACCGAGCATTCGACCATCATAATCCTGACAGCCTCTAGTCTCAGCAATGTAGCTGGTAATGCCGAGATATATCAAGACGTTGTCAAGTTTGGAGTACTTCTTCGGCTCAAGGCCACGTAGAATGGCAAAGCCTATGCCATTATGAATGGACACAGAGATTTCGTCTAACTTGGTAGCTAGAGTCGGAAGAGGATACGTTTTTTGAGAGACATCATCCGGGCCGAGCTCTCCAGGTAGGCCTAATTGCCTAGATTAGATATTGATCTCCAATACTGGGTGAGAGTGAATGTTGGAGTAGGGGCAGACCCTTAAAGTGAGCAAGCCCTGCTTCGATCTCCGCAATCTCAGCTTTGCTAAACTCAACAACATACTGGCTCTCCGACGTAAAGTCAGACTTGGACCAGACTCGTGATGTGGTAACCTCTTCTGGCCATCCAGCAGGGAGGGTAGTAGGACGGTCAAGTCCAAGGGCGGCGAGAGCCTCAACACGGGCTTTGTATGTCTTGAAAGAAGGGACCCATTCTATGTCAGGCCGAGCTACATCGTCAGAAGGCTCATTCCCTGACAAAGCATCCGCACTCCATTGCTCCTTGGGCAGCTCGTTAGGTGCTGGGTATGCTACTAGCGCCTGAGCCATCGGATTGATTTTGCGGTAATCGAAACGTGATGTAAGGCAAAGCTACGACACAATTTCTTTCAAGTTCAGACGACTCGTTGGTGAAGACTTAAGACGACGAGTTTCATCGAACTTCCTATGAGTCAACATGGAACGGGTCTCAGTCATTTTTTTGGCGGCGGCGGCGCCCCATTAGCAAAAGCAATCACCGACTTTGCGCCAGAGCCGCATCGTTGTCCAACGCCTTATCTACGGGGTAAGACCGCCTGCTGCCTTGCATGCATGCAAATGTTCGGAATGAGCGAAGATTTGAGTAACAGAACAACCCCGGAAAGTGTGTTAGGTTGATACGAGATGTTTACAAGCAGACAACATGAATATATATCCGAAAACCTAGGCAATATTTACAAATAATGTCACGTAATTACCGCATGCAATAAGAATAAGAGAGAACGTCAGATGTGGATATCCTCGTATCATCCCCAGAGCTTCTTCCGCTTTGGTGACCATCAGTAGACAGTATGATCGACGGGAGCAGGTTGCTTGAAGAACTAAATTCGGATAAAAAGTACTCAGGAGGTCTGAAACACAACGTCTCATCAGATGGTGAATGTCAAGCGATGCTATACTGCAAACACTTGAGAGCGTACTCAACGCATGGTGTCGACTCGGTGTAGGCCTAGTAGTGAAGCAAGGTGAACAGATCAGATAGCATACCTTGATAATCATGAACTTGTGGAGTTGATGTCTGTGAGAAGTCTTAGTCTAACGAATGCCCAACAGCCGAGTGGAACAGAATGTATCGTGCGAGTCAAGCGCACGGAATACTACAGCAGTATAGGCTAGAGTGATTTACCCCTCTTCACTCCTCGTGCAAAACGGGTAATGTATCGTAGCTCTTGAGGACAAGGCAGCGAATGAAGTAAAGGCATCCAGTGATTCTTATAGCAACTGGGCAAAAGTGCAGTTATGCAGTTATGTTGTGTCACCAGAACGACGAATGAGGCGAGAGCACAACACCGGTGTCGGACTCTCTACAGTAACAAACCATATTCGAGGACCAAGGAAGTGACACCACACTCAAGTCATCATGAAGATCCGAAGCCTTGCTCTTTCCACTTTCGCATACTCCTTCCTTCTTTAGTATAGCATTGTCCTCACCCAGGCCAATCCGGGGAAAACACGAAATTCAAGTCAAGTAGATTAACAGGGATGCTTCGTGGATCTCCGGAATTCTAGAAATCCTACAGCACCTCAACTGCATGGCTCGACAACCCGGATTCAATTCTGTTTGGCGTAATTACGAGGAACTCTAAGGTAAGCAAACTGTACGGGGATTAGAAGCATTGTGGTTATGGATAAGAAATATCGGGCTGAACTCCCCATGGGGATTCTGGAACCTGCCTCCAAATATCCTCCATGTACCAGGATGGCCTGAACTCTTGAAGTGCGACTGCTAGAGATACCTACGTCTGATCATTATTCAGTTGTGGCTCCACTGTTCTATGAATCTTTAACCCTAGAAAAAGAACCCAAACCATACCTTTGATCATAGAGACTGCGGGCAACAAAGTACTTAATACATAATTGCTGAGAGTCTACTTCAAAAGACCTCGTCCTCGATGTTAGGGGAACCAGAGTCCCAGTTGTCAAAGAACATCTGCTGACACCAATACAAGTCTGACTCATATTTGTGTTTTTCCCGGAGTTGGAGTAATTCGGTTTCTTTAATAAATTAGTTAGTGATAAGAATGTAATAAGTAATTTCCATTGACAGGAGCCGCGTTCAAGATTCAGGGTTCGTGTATGATGCAACATACCTCTCCGAAGAATCTCCACTTGAGTCTCTCCCATGAACTCAATCTCATGAGACTGTAGCTTTGCCAGCAGAAGGGTCTCTGGTGACGTCCATTTCGATCGCAGAGGAGCGGAGCCATTGCAGACAAAGTGGAATCGAGAGAGCAGCATCTTGGCAGTATGAAAATAGCCTTCGAACTCGCGCATATCGCAGTATCTAGTCTGAGGAACAGCCTTGATTAGCATCCGTGTTTAATCATGGTTCTCTATGTAGGAGCAGGCCATCTTTACCTTGATACCAAAATCAGTGGCAAAGCTCTTGCCATGTTTCGCTGACCATGCAATATGGTTCAACAACGTGAAGATGACCAAGTATGTCTCAAACCAAGAGGCCGCTGAGTGTTTTTGGATCTGAGCTTGAAGCTTTTCCAGTATAGTTGTCTTGAGGGGTGTCAAGATCTCTTGAATCACAATCTGGTCGAATTGAACGTCCATCATCGGGGGAAGCATCATTGTCCCAAAGAATGGGTTATGCGGATCTGTGACAATCTCCGTCCCCAGTGTTTCGCTGCCACACATCTCCCATGTGATTTCAATCAGCCGCGACGCAACCCACAAATTGACGACGTTGTCGATGAGTGACCCCTTGCACAATTGCTGCTTAGCATTTTACCACGATAATGCATGATGAAGGGTTGATAAGACTCACAACTTTGTTTCTGGCATATTGCGAAGCCATCGATAGTGTCTTCCACGCAAGTGGATCGGACTTCTTGAGCATCTCGATGTACGACCATTTAGACCGTGTGATGTATTGCATGATATTTCTCGTGATCTCGGGGATGCAAGTGATGCAGTAATGGGGCATTGGCATGCTTTGTTGGTTGCCGTCGGAATCAGTCCAAATATAAGCAACCTTGTCCTCTGGCGTCGGGATGAACTTGGCGGCATAAATAGTCAGGTCGTGACCACCTACGCTTTGCGTAATAGTTATCGTCTTCACTTGTGCGCCTTCCTCAGAGGGATCCTCTAGAGCGTATATGGCTCTTCTGGGAGTGTACTGAGGCCCAACTGGTACTATTCATAGCAGCGTCAAAATTGATCTGGACATGGAGACGATTTGGGCATGACTTACTGATCCGGAAAAAGGTCGAATCGCGGAGATCGGATTGAAAACACGGCATGCGTGGTAGATCTCGGTACGTGCGAGCGTAACATCCCGAACACTTCTCGTATGGTGTAGGTTTTTGTGCGAGATCGCACTGGTAGGTGTTATTAGCACAAACGTTCACCACCAGTACCTAGTGTACGAAGACTTCTTACCCGTTTCTTGGCCAGTCGACATCTCTCGCATATGCCGTTCTGGCGTGCCAGTGCTGTTTCCTTTCTTTTCTTTGGTGGGAGAGCTGCCCGCTTGGTAGGACGACTACCCATAACAATTTGCATGCCAGCGATCTCCCCTTGCTTGTTTTTCAAGACGGTCTTTTTCGTTTTCTAGCAATTGTCAGTCAAGTAATCTTGCTTCTACAAGGGAGTGGCCTGACACGTGCCATTTCGACACCAGAGTCGACATCTTTCTCCTGCTCTTCGTTGACAGCGCTAGGATCATAGTGAATGAACTTCAAAGAACTGATAGTTCTTGGCACGGTTGCTGACTCTTCCCGGGAACTTGTCCGCTTTAGTTGGCTGTTCGGAGTGGGAGAGTATGAGGAAACACTGCCTTGATGACTGTTGTTTTGTGACGGTTCAGATGTTACTTTGGGCTCGATCGATGCATTGTCCTCCGACAGGAACGGCGAAGGGAGCAATGTGTTTGTTGAAGTATCCGAACGAAGAGTAGAACTGCCATGGCTATTACTTATCGGGGCGTTGTCCCAGCTGGCTAAACCATCCGGCAACGAGAGTGTTGTCGCTGGGAAGAAACCACCGACGGATGCTTGGTTATACGGCGCCGCCAAGCTGTGATCTGGCGTGCCTATGGTTCCATTGTTGAAGGCATCAACACCGCCAGAGAGACTGTTATAGTCCTGCGCAAACTCGCCACTGAGCACGTCTGCCGAATTCCATGACTCTCTTTGATCCAAGCTTCCCAAAGGCGGCCCTCCCCACGCCACCTCGGCAGGGATAAGATTGCCCAAGGGCAAACTTGGCAGGGTTGCTCCTGTGTTGACAGGTAGGCTATTATCGAAGCTCGAGTATCCACTAGCTTTCAGAATATCAGAACCCAATTTACAGCTAGACAGAGCATGGCACACAGGAACGAGGAGAAGGTGAGATGGACTGCATTACTCTGATCAATATTGGTTGTAGCCGAGAAAAAGAAAGGCTGAAAGTCCGGTATGACTCCAAAATCCAAATCATGGCCATCGGTAGGGAGAATGAGTTCGGAAAACAACTCGTCATCGTTTTGCGCATGGGCAGGTTGAAGGGCTTCATTGAGAATTTCGGGCGCATCTGGAGATAAAGATAAAGACGAGCCTGCTGTCACGAACGGTTCAATGGCTTGGCGATGCGGTGCGCCTCCGCGGGACGGCTCATGGCCTTGGCTTGTGTGGGGTTTGCTTTGCTTCGTAGAGGCATCAGGGTTATCTTCAAGGTTGGGTTGTGGTGTTTTATTGGGCATATTGGGGAGAAGAAGGGGAGGCAAACGTCGGGTTTGGTGATCAAGGTGGCAGCGTCAGACGATGATTGACTAAGTCGGATCGGATGTGTGGCGGTATTTATGCTAGCCCCGCACACGGGATGCACGAGGCTGTTGTACGTACAGCTTCTACTGCAAGGAACTGGACGCTTTGGGTGGTCGGCATGCCTGCCTCGTTTTGCTGGCCACCGCATTTCCTCTTTCGACACCGCGTTTCTACTTCAGAGACCGTGTTTCGCTGATTGGTCCTACGCCCACAACACCCTTCAGCCTCACAAATTCTGAAGCCGCCAACTTTGAAAGCGCCTATGGTACGTGCAAATCCAAGTCACATGCTTAGATGAGTCTTGGTAGTGCATCACAAGTTATTCTTCGAACAGCTTTCTCCTTCCACGTATTACTATTGAGTCACCTACTAGTCTCTATCAGTATGGTTCACCTGCGCGTGGCTACTCCTGATGATGTCGACGATATCGTCCAACTAGTTCTCAAATCCATGCCCGACGACCCACAATGGAATTATCGTTTTCCATATCGCGAGAAATATCCTGAAGATCTGTATAAGTATACAAAGATATTATATGAGCAGTTCCTAGATCCGACGGTTGATGACTGGCAAGTACTTGTTGCAGTACAGGACTTTTCAGATGACGCAAGTGAAGCAACTGCTAGTGCGGAATCCTCCAATTCATTTGGTCATTCAATGAACAGCAGCGCAACCACAATACCAAAAATTAAGAGGGGCAAGATCACAGCTTTCTCCGTATGGGATGTGTCATACATCAACAAACGGCAAGAGGGCCCATCATATGAGTCGCAAAACCGTAGGCATTTCAAAAATACAGTGACAAACTTTAGCTCCATTGACTGACAGGTTTAGCAATGCTGTACATCGCGGAGCAGGGTGATGGCATCCGGAGAGATGTAAATCTAGACAGAGAGAAGGCGTTCAGACTGGCCGCGGCAGAAGCAAGGAAGTATTTCGTCGAATGCGGCAATGAGCAGCTTCACCTACAGATCCTAGGGACTCATCCGGACCACAGAAGGCATGGCTACGGCAAACTACTTTGTGAGTGGGGAATGAAAAGAGCAGCGGAAGAAGGCCTGGTGGTGACCGTCGTGGCAGGTAGTAACGGAGAACACCTATATAGGTATCTCGGTTTCAAATGTTTAGGCAGTGTGATGGCGAAGTTGCCGGGTGAGGAAGACCAAGTCGAAGGCGCGGCAATGATTTTTACTCCAGGGGAGATTCGCCACCCTATTAGTGCCTAAGTTGACACAGAGGAAAGAGAAACAAACCTTCGCTTGCATCAAGTAAAGAATAGTATCACGGGCCTCCCGCTTTCAAAGGCACTTCCTCAAGCCTGCGCGCATCCACCGTCTCCTTCCATGATAGAAAGAAAGGGATGAAAATTTCGCCTTTCCTGCAAACAGCCACCACCAGCAGCTTATTGACAATTGCTTTGCACTTAGGTGGTGGCACTTTAGTTACTCTTAAGTCTATCGCACTTGCTTCAGCCACATATGCGGCAACTAATCTCGAGTAAGAGCTGCGATCGCGGCTGTGAGGGTGGCGCACGCAGTTTTCAGCCAATGAGATGTTGGGCTGCCGGTTTCTGGGGACCAAAGCAATTTTCACGGGGGGTCAGTAATTGGGCACCCTTGAGATTCCAGGCTCAGGACATACGCATTGTACCTATTTCAAGCTTTTAATAGCGAAGCTTGGTGTCATAACTGCTCAGGACAGGACCCTATGTTCACTTGTGATAACAGAGTATGTATTCTCTTCCCGACGGATCTCATCGCACGCAAGCCTCTGAAACTACCCCAATACTATCTGGCACAAATCACCAACCCTAAGATAGGGGGACAGTAGTCAATACATGCCCTGCATTTAGAGTGGTTACAATGCTACACCTAAGATGGCTAACTACAGGGCAAACGCTGAGCTACTTAAAATCCCGCTTTCTGCCGCTCCCCGTGAATCTTTGGGATCCCCCTGTGCCTGTCACCTCAAGGTCTCACCTCAGTGCCATATGTTCCTCCGCTCATGTCTTAATCCTCGCGGTAGCCAGCTCGAGGATCACGGTCCCAATTCGCAAGGGGCAAGACGATTTAACTTCCAGTCGACCACGATAGAGTCCGTTGATATTGTACCTGATGACTCTCTTGGCTCCATCAGCTGATGGAGAGGGGTCGCATTTTTGTGCAATCACTTGGCTGGTCGATCAGCATCTGGAACAAGCGGTCTGCAGCTTCCGGGTCGACAGTCCCAGCTTATGGCACTGTTAACACTAGTTATTTCTAGAGTATAGACGATAGAACATACTGCTTCGTGGATATCGAAAGGCACGCCCGGCCTCCCACCATGTCATCACGGCAACTATGAGTGAGGATATGCCAAAAAAACAGTCCTTCGACGATAGCGATGATAGATTCAGTAGACAGAGCTTCCATGTTGCCACCATACTTGAGAGATACCAGGGTAGGTTTCGAACATATGAACAAGAATTCTTTTGTGTTTATATCTTAGTCTGAGTGTGGTTTGTGCTACTTCTGGTTGGATCACCTTTCCCTCGCAACTTATGAGCAGGTTGCTCCTGCTCAAGACTGCCCGCACCAGCGTGTCTCCAATCACACCTGCAGGATTCGACTACAGATCTCCCAAACTAATAGGCGAATCTCAAAATTCTAAATTAGCTGGCTGGATGCACCTAGTGCTGCAAAGGGACGGGTAAGATTGTCTTTGCGGTACATTATCACGCCTTGGGCACTGCTAGACTCCAATCAAAATTGAGCCTGAGCTCCAACCTCCCACATTTTCCACTCTGTTCCGTACCCTGTTATTATCAATTGCCTCCACACCTCGTTTGATTGAGCTAGTTAATTAGCACAACACAAGTTCTTCCGCCCCGAGATGCTACTACAAACGATGGAAATAGAAGTATTCCTCTCTCGTTCCAGATACAGATGGTGGTTTTGTACCATTACCACGGTAAGGTTGAGATCATGAGAGTCTGGTCGGGGTTGTGGCTCGTGGCTCGTGGCTGGTTGCCAGTGGAAATAGTGCACCAGCGCAGAACCAATCTGCTTTTAGGAGCATATTTGCAATGCGCCATAGCAAAAATTGAACCTTTCATTTGCAGCAACTACTTCATTGAGTGGAATTCCGTTATCCGTCGTAGCCATGCTCATCGGGTTTGTTCAAGAGGCATTGAAGTGGAGGGCTCTTTATAATGGATGTCTGGCTCGCATCATTGCAGCGGCTGACGTTAAAAGCCTTGGTCGGGGATATCATTATATTAAACAACGTCATGTGTTCAGAATTTGAGCATCAATTTCACCTTCAATCGAGTGCACACAGAGAACAAGGATCGAGGTGTTCAAAATGAGATGCCCATACGGGAGAGGACCGAGCCTTGGCGACCGATAAGCTTGTTGATTCGCCCCGCAAATTTAAAAGGCAATTCCACGGATACGATACAGAGGGGGAATCAATAGAAGAAGTATATAAATTTAGTTTGTCGTCTCAGCTGTTTTGGGACACACTCTTCTGACCTGCAATCCTTGGCAGGCCTGAATCCACGATGCCCCGTCGCGGGGAGCTCACACATGTCCCGCTGCCACTCATCCTCATCCTCAGCAACCTCTAAGCTCCCCGTTTGTGAACAGCAGCCCAAAGATATCGATCATATCCTATAAAGCGATACCTAGGTCAGCAGCCCATGTGAGGGCTCTAAGTGACCTTTTGTCGTTATAGCTGTCAAAGGATAAGTACGGGTGTGTTATATCTATATAACCTTGCCTTTGGACAGATATGAGGCTATCTATGAGCTTTTTCTATAGGTATTTGGCTACTGTTATTTTGAGAGGTATTGTATGGGTGGGCGGCTGCTATATAATATACTGAGAGAATAAGAAATGATATGGCCGACGGGAGGGTCTCTATACAGTAGGGAGGAAGAAGAAGCATAGAAGCAACGATAGTCAAGCCACTATTACCCTTGTCGATAGCAATAACAAGGTAACTTACGCCCTCTGACACTAATTAAGTAGAAGAACTCGATGATAATCTCTTTCAAGGCAGGCAAGTACACAGGCACTAAATCGAGGCCTTAGCCTTGTAGTAGAAGATGTCGTGCCGTTATACCTTGGTAATATGAAGGTAGAGCAAGCATGTAAGAAAGTAGCGCCTCCACTCAGTACCTAGTTAGCTAGTACGCAATATGAGCTCGGGAAATGCATGCAGCGCGGCCTCCCCTTATCTCAGACCCCAGCCAGTAGTCACCTGACCTTCCAAGACCTGGCGTCCTCCTTTGTCTGCTAGTCACGCCTGATGTCTGCTCCAATCTCAGTCAAAGACACGGTGAAGACACGAACATATGGAATCAAAGACAACCGCTTTCTCACAAACCAATCCGTTCTTATCAGATCCTCATGTTTCACGAGTGAATATAAGATGTTATCGTCATTGATCCACTCACCAGACTAAGGTAATAAAAGTAATGACCCATCTCTTTATTCCTGTCTCTCAGCTGCTCGTATATATTGGATATGCTTTAGTGCTCTTTTTATATTATATCAGCATGTCCAGACACCTAAATATCTCAATAAAACACGATCTATCTCTCTCTTTGTCCATTGTTGCGGTTGGCGTTCTGCAGGTTCTGTATCTTTCTTATCTGTTCACCCCCTCTGCCTCTCGTATTCCCTCAAGACCTCATCTCAATACTTTATTCCTCAGCTTAAGCAGAATGACGTCGTTCCATGTCCCCAGGCGGCTTCAATTCCAGTGCAAAGCATTGCGAGGATGAAAACTGGCGAGGGATGATAATGATAGGTTGCGTTGTATATGATGCCCGGGGAAAAGGTGAGGTTCCGAAATGGACGAGAGCCATGTATGCCGGCTTTGCATTTGATGAACACCTTGGTTATGTTCGTTGGTATTGTGAACTGGGACAGAAATTGTAGATGGAGACTGATTGGAGACGGTTGTTGCACTGTCGACCAGCCGCTGGAAAAGTTGATCTATAGCCTCAGGGTCGAGTCACTGAACTATGGAACTCAAATTAACAATATTACTCCGTCGATTGACCTACCCTGTTTGACTCACATTTCTGTGCATGGACGAACGATCGTCGAGTCTCCCACCATGTCATGAACGCTATAATCAATGAGAATAGCTCGATGCCAAGGCCCATACAAATAGCGATGATACCTTCGCTTGAGAGTCTTCCCATTCTAGTGTAGCGGTCTTGCGGAAATAGACAGGCACGTATTCTGAAAAACAAGATATCATAGAATCACAGTGAACAGGATGTGCCACGAATATTAGTATTGGCGAATATACAAGTACCGGGCTGCAAGTAACCAGGGTCATTGTACTGTCGCCAAATGGTGTAAGACACCACTATTGGTATTCATGTAGTCAAATCCTCGACCCACACCATCTATGTGAATGGGCTTGCAGATCATGCTGAACACGAGACGAGGCTCTGAGTTTGGCTTCGAAATTATTGCAATCTGTTTGGACCTGGGTTCCCACTCCCACACCCTCTAACTATTTCCATTTGATGACTCTGACACGACATCGTGCCTCAAAGTGCAACAACAGATGCTGATGGCAACATAATCAGAGCGCCTTTTGCATCTTCCTACTTTGAGTCTCAAGCACATATCCTCCGGCTCAAGCACTGAAACAGCTCAATAATGACTCGACCATTGTCGGGCCCCCGATACTTTCTATTGGCCGAAGTTGCATGCCAATTGACGCAACATGTTCGTTACTTTGCCACCCGTTGCATTGGCTTTGAATTTGTCGTCGCATGTTCCATACATAGGTTCACGATGAGTAGGCAAGTTTAGATACCGATACAGACCTCCGAGCAGATTTGCCAGACCCATATAAACGCAGTTTACAAGATCTGCCCTCAAAACACAGCCTTGCCAGCAAACAGAAACAGTTCTTTATCCAGATAGAGTTAGGAGTGACGTTGGTGAGTAGGCCGCGGGGTTTGTACTGTCCGTATGGAAATATTAGGTACTCGATCTTAGTAGGGAATCCACAAGTGCTGCGAAAAAGCAGAATAACGTCGACACAGCGTAGCTTAATAACTGATCAAATTTGGTTTTTGCTACAAGACTGTTCTCGGTCACATTCGATGGCGGACTCTGATGCATGCTTTGAAAACCTCGCCAAGTAGTGAGAGTACTGGAAAGCGATCACTAAGTCAAGCTATCTCGATCTTTTGCATGCTTGGAAGTACAATGACGAAAAGAATGAACAATCTGTCCCTGCTACAGCCTCAACCGATAGTACAAGAAAGCTGAGATTGTCACTAGGGAAGACAAACTAGCTGAGCAGTAGTCCCTATGCCAACAATCTCCCTCCATATCAAAGTCCAGTGAGAAGTAGGGAGATGAGGACGAACACACCACAGTTCGCTCCCCAGGGGTCAAATGCTTAGAGCTATGTTCTAACTTGAGATAATTGATCGGCTGGACCAGGTGGAGGGTTCCTGCAATTTAGCTACGCGGTCCGTATTTCAGGGATAGACTTGACAAGCCGAATAAAAAAAAAATCTTATACAAAGCTTTTTCTTTTTTTTATAAAATGACCCCGTAGTGGAAGCCTTTCAGCTACACGTTTCCTTAGAGCTACTGACACTAGACAATTTACTACGGCAAAGATACACTCCTGTTCCTTCCATTCCAATTGAAGTACGGCTAGCTCTGTCGTTATTGCTAGTTACTCGATGGTGTCGAGGTTTCGGTACACCACGCATGTATCTCATAATGATTTTGAACGGGTGAGGTCCTGGGGTCGACCAGATAGCTTGGCGGAAGAGCATAATTGTTCGAGTGGATCATCGATCTGTCTAGCCGCTCGCGAAAGATATGATCCATCGATTCGGGATCAAGACCTCAGAGCTTTTTAGCGAAACGTATGAAGTTATCAGTCAATTTCGCACGAGTAACATACTAGTGCGCGAGTGGAACGAAGATCGTCTAGTCTCCCACCAAGTCATAAGTGCAATACATAACGAAGGCACACCAATACACAGTCCTAATACAAGCGTTATGACCGAGTCGGTTGTCAACTCCATGGTCACAAAGTGATGAACAGAGTGAGACTGTGGCAGGGGAAGCATAAACAAGCAAGAAATATCCCCAGGATGAGGGTGCAGGTGAGCTTCAGGAAACTTATATCATAATTGCATAACATTAGAGCATCGGGATTAGAGCATCGGGGCGCTTCGTGGGACTGGGCTTGAGACTTTAATTCCGCACATCATTTGACGTCGTGTTCCCCCTTAGCACCCTACCCACCTTGCATTAGCGTGTTGCGGCAAGCCTTTTCATTCACAGCTGCTGTCTCGATGTTGAGAGAAGGATACCGAGCAGGGACTTGTATTTCCCTGACCCAGCCGCATGTCTCGCGGCAAAATGAGTGGGAGGCATGCTCTTGTCAGTCGGCCGAAAGAGGTACTAGTCATGTACCTGCATCTACAGTTTGCCGGCCTGATTAGATGCCAGTAGTCAAGCTCCCTGGTTAAAGGAAAGTGAGGCTGTTGGACTACCGAAGGTGTTCTTGTACTTTTTCACGGCTACTGCTTACGTCTTGACGATTATGACAAGTTTTCTGATCCAATACATGATGGAAAACACCCCGCTGAGACGACGTCGAATGCGTGCAATGCCAAAGCCCCGAACTCACAACTGCCGTTGCCTATTTGTTTCTATTCTCTGTCATGATCACTTGCATATAGCATACGACCAAGACTTTTGAGGAGATGAAGGCTATACAAAACGGCGTGGCTTGGACGACCCAGAGGGCCCAGTGGTTCATCGTTAGAGAGCCGCCAACGTTAGTGGAGTGCTTAGGCTGTGACTAGGCCACCCATTGTAGGTGCTCTCGGTGCTGTAGCAAGGAACCGGGGAAGCGTGGGCCACCAGAGGTTAACGTTATGCCTCCTTCCGTCTTCCTCCTCTTCCATGAATTAAATGTCAAGTCAATTTCTAATTCAAACGATCAGTTGCTTTGATCAAATTGCTTCTGCCTGGAAGCACAGCACCTGGGCTGTTTTGTTTGTGACTAGACAGAGACCCCGAGATGTATTAGGGAGTGGTAAAGCTTGTTTAGCCGCCTCTTCGCTCCACATCCCACTGCAACGTCTCCAGGCAATGTTATGTACATGTACACAGTCAACACCAAGCAGAGACGACTGACTGACGAGGGCGGTGGCCAGCTTCTCAATACTGGACCGTCCATCATCATCATCTCATTACATAACATGCGTCGGGGACTGCGCCACGGTCTCTGAGCTGTAATTCGCAGGTCTGAATCTACGATGTTGCGCCACGAGGTGCTCCGTCTTACCTCGCTGCCCCTCATCCTCATCCTCATCCTCAGCAACCTCCTCGGCCATGCCCTGACTGCCCTGACCAGCCCATCTCCCGGCCTGCCGATGGTGATCAACACCTGGGGCGGGCCCTTCACCGCCGCCACCGACGCCGCCTACCAGGCCCTCATCTCTCCGGATTCAACGTCGGCCCTCGACGCCGTCGAGATCGGCTGCTCGACCTGCGAGCGCAACCAATGCGACGGCAGCGTCGGCTACGGGGGTTCGCCCGACGAGGCGTGCGAGACGACGCTGGACGCCATGATCATGGACGGCACGACGCTCAAGTCGGGCGCCGTCGCCGCGCTGCGCCGCGTGCGCGAGGCCGTCTCCGTCGCGCGCGCCGTCCTCGAGCACACCACCCACACGCTGCTGGCCGGCGACCAGGCCACGCTGTTTGCCGTGCAGAACGGCTTCCTCGAGCAGAACCTCACCACCGAGGCGTCGGCGCGGCAGTGCGCCGAGTGGAGGGCCGCGGACTGCCAGGCCAACTATAGGATCAACGTCACGCCGGACCCGACGACGGCGTGTGGGCCGTACACGCCGCTTGCTGTCGTCGAGCGGAGGGATGCGGCGCTCGCTGGTGGTGACGCTGCTGCTGCTGCTGCTGCTGTGCACAGGCGGGACGCGTACCCGGATGCACTGCAGCGCGGTTTCACGCCCGCATCCGCGTCGCAGGCGTCGCACGACACCATCTCCATGATCGCCATCCACTCCTCTGGAACAATGGCGGCAGGGACATCTACCAATGGTGCCTCGCACAAGATCCCAGGCCGTGTAGGCGACGGCCCCATCACCGGCAGCGGATCCTATGTCGACGGCGATGTAGGAGGCTGCGGCGCGACCGGCGATGGTGACATCATGATGCGATTCCTCCCTTGCTACCAGGCCGTAGAGAACTTGCGGCAGGGCATGACCCCCACAGAGGCTGCGGAGGATGTCGTGAAGCGCATGCTGAGAAAGTATCCCGAGGTGGCCAGCGGCATCGTGGTTGTCAACAACAACGGCGAGCATGGCGGGGCTGGTTCCGGCTGGACATTTACGTATGCATATAGAGGAGGCGACATGAATGCCACCGAGGTGGTCACGGTGCCGCCCGTGTCTGTATCCAAGGACTTTGTATAAAGGGCAGAATTAGATGTGTAAATATTATACGATGTGAAAGACGGCCATTCCGCGAGCTCGTCCTGGGCAATTAACATTTCACCTGGTGGTCATCAACGCGACCAATTACTTCACTTTCGACTCAATGATCACCAAGCATACTTATGAATATGATTTTTTCGTTTCTAGGGAATTCGTACACAAGACATAAAAAGAAGATGCGAGACTCCAATCTTTGCCAGCCCATGAGCCTTTTTACAGTCTACCGCCATGCAGGATGATAAGAATGAATCAGCGACCTGAGGGACCGCCCGTCCTTTGCCGTCTCTTCCTTCATATTTGACCCGTCCTATTCTAATCCTTTGAACCGTCGATTGAACTCTTCCACTGCCACAGCAATCATTCTGTACAAGAAGGTACGGCTACTTTCTTCGCCAATCGGAATGAATGGCCCATTTGTGCCTCCTCTGAGTGTCAGGCTGAGACCGGTCCTCTCTTTGGCGATGGTCTGAACATCCTTGAGAGGCACATCCCACTCCGTCGTCAGTCTCCGACTCCTGATCAGCAGAATCCGAGAGAAGGTCACCATGACCACCATGTCTTCGCGCGGCAGCTCGAGGTGGGCAATGTACGATTCGTTAAAGTACTTGCCATTGTCGACCTGTTTGAGCCAGAACTGTCCCAGAGCCTCCCGTTGGTTGTACGGACGTACGATACCATCTGAGGGGATGAAGCGCGTCAGACGGACTCGGTCAAGCTCAGAGCCATCGAAAACAGTGGTGGTATTTCGAATTCCCTCGGACACGTTGGAGGCAAGATCAAGAACACCAACTGCTGGCTTCGTGGCTAGCCCTAGCACGCCTTTACCGACGCCCTTGAAGAATCCAAGTGCTCCCTCCTGCTCAGCACCCTCAAGTGGCTTTCGGGCTAAACCGCCGACACCCGACGCGACAGAAGTAAAGAGACTGTTTGCACCAGCCGTCACTCCATACAGAGCGTGCTTCGGTCGATTTCTCGCTCTCGTAATGCGTCTTCGATCCTGGAACTGCTTATCAAGCGTAGCAGCAGCAAGGCCCTTCGACATGGCACCGGTCCACTTCGAGAACGAGTCGCTGACACCAAAGACCGTCTTCTTCGCGAATGAGCCCGCACCTCTAGCTAGACCGAGACCAAGATCTTCTGGTCGATCTGACATAATGAGGCCCTGGTACGGCTCATAGAAGACATCAGCAATGCCTGAGCTGATGTTGTTGAACAGGCCGACAGGATTGCCTAGGAAGTCTGCAGATCCGAGAATCTTGTGTATCTGGTAGATGGCCTCCTGACTATAATGATTTGAGATATTCTGGGTGAGAACGGGAATTGACACTCGAACATTGTCTAGGATCAATGCATTGAGCCGCAAGGGGGCATCATTTACGTTGCCGATTGCCATTGTCATAATGTTGAAGAAGAACATCAGCGGATTGCGAGAAGATGTCTTGTCCTCGGCATTGACACGTTCAGTGCGCACAAAGGATAGATCGATTTGGAGGGGTTGGATATTGAGCAGCTCGAAGTAGATGTCTTGACCCGACTGCTCCTGTTTCGGCTCGGGTATCTCCAGGCTGTCGTCACACAGTCTGCCCTCCTCCTCTGACTCTGTCCAAGTTGCACCAGGAGCCTTCGAGAAATCGAGCACAGCAAAGATGAAATCTTCATCCAAGTCCACTGTCATTTGCTGCAGCAAAACCGTCGCGTATTTGATGTATAGAACGCCATAGGAGTCGTCTTTCACTCTGGTGACCATCGCATGCAACGAAGGGTGAGCATCAACCTCCTGTGCCCGCTTTGGAACGACACTCGGGTATAATATCATAGGGAAGATACCGCCGTACAGTTGATTGTCAACTTGTATCCATTTCACCGCCAAGCTGATTGTCTGGTAAAGCGGCGACTCGCTATAGCGAAGCTGTACGTCTCGGAATGTGACATAAGCAAGCTCTTTTAGCTGCGCGTTGATAAGTGACACGCCAATTCCAGCCAACTTGAGCTGAGCTCTGAAGGTCACGCCAGTGTCCATATTCTTGGCCTCAAATCCTTCAGTGCTAACGTTGCCTCTTGAGCCCGCATGTGACTTCTGACGGTAAAGACTCTTTGACGGCTTGAAGTTGGAAAGGATGAGAGTTTGGGTCGGCCCATCAGCTGCGACATTAATGTCAATGATCTTCTGCCCGCCGTTCGTCGCTGCAAACTTCATAGGCACTTGGTTGCCTATCTCTGCAAGCTTAACATGTCGTTCCTTTCCGTAAGCCGCTATTACCACCTCGCGATGCTTCGCAGCAGGGAAATCCCACGCGTATGGCATGATGCTGCGTGGCGGGAGCCGGTATCTGATCGGCCGCCAGCCAGACCGATCCTCGACACCATCATCATCAATATTCGGATTGGCTTGATAGAAGGTGAACTCAGTGTCGCTCTCATTTCGCATCGAGTATGGCCAATTTTTTTTCTCTATACTGAGATTCAAGAATATGGTTGCATCTTCCATAAGAACATCGACACGCACGAGGCGCTGCCGCTGACCGGCCTTCGCAATCTTGATGTGAGTTGTACCCAAGTCGGATATGTTGAATGGGGACGTCCACTGGTTGTTTACCCCAGGGAAGCAAAGGCAAAGTTGCTTGACTTGGCTCTTCTGGAGGAAGTGCAGGGGTTGGAGCTGTCCGGTCTTGAGTGACATCAAGCTCGAAGAGCTTGGTTCGCGAATATTAATGTCCTCGCCCAATCTGTTCTTGATAATGTAACGGGGGGCAAGTGTAACGACCTTTGTCATCTTGTATTTGCCCTCGCCGGCTTCGACAGTGATGCCGACATGGATCTCGGCATTCCGACCAGAAGCTTGGAGCACTGCTTCAGTCGTGCTGCCAATGGCATCAAAACTTTGCGGTTTGCTCCAATCCGAGTCTCCAATTTTCAATGATGCGCGGTTTCGTTGATCATCGTTTCCGAAAGAGAACATCAATGGCACAGCCTTGTGCTCCTGGTCTGCCAAGTCAATCAGAGGCTGACCGGCAGCAGACTTCGCTTGCTGTAGGAAGCCCTTCGATCGAATACTGAGTTCTAACCCAGTCTTATTGAGGATGACATAAGGGCTGTAGACGGTCACCTTGAAGGCACCTCCACTATCTGGCACACGGTGGTAATGCAATTTGAGGCGGAGGTTCAAACCTTGGTCATCGCGGCAGACAACCGATGATTCCTTCTTGAAGTCCTCTGCATTTCCAGAGTTGATGATTGCAAACTCGCTCGGTTTGAACACGGTGTCTTGCATGTCAACACTAAGCAGCAAGAGATGCGAGAGCTCCACCACATGGACAGGGCTGACACCCCCCTTTCTGAGGAAGTTTGTCCAGTCCTTCTTGGTGTTTTTGTCGTAGATGCGATACTTGAAGTCATACGGGAGAAGATTCTCAAGTGTGACAGGGGCCGACAGCTTAAGCTTCATGTAGGGATAGTTCCTAGGAATTTAGGTTAGAGGTACGATTGGCGCATTTACTGGGATTACATACTTTGTCATCGGATTTGCCCTATCAAAGGAGGCGTTCAGCTGGAAGTAGAATGGCTCTCCGTGTTCACCCTTGCAAACCATTGTTCGAGTCGGTCGTTTCAGTAGATCTCTCCACCAAAGTGTTTCGCTTGACCACTGATATCCAAAGCCACTATCGGGTCTCACCAACAGGCTCTTCAGATAGGCCGCGCCGACCGGAGCAGGCCGGCTCTCGCCAGGAGCAATCTTCTCGATCTTGAGCAAATCTCCTTCTTGTGCATCAAATACACCAAGCTCAACAGGGATCTGCGTGTCGTTCTGCACCAAAAGCGGGCTTCGCAACGTCACATATTTGACATTGTCAGGACCCAACTTCACGTCAACCATCAATCGATGGAGGATTTGGTCTCGTTTCGGCTTGAGGCCGTACAAAACTTCGCCCTCTCGATTGAGCCTGATGCTCTTGACGGCATCGAATCCGCTGCCTTCCAGCTGGACGCCGACGGTTGTACTAGCAGCACTCTCGCTAAGCATGCTCTCGCGCATCTTCTCCCAATGTTCAAAGCTCCAAGGTGCTTCCTTGCCATCCTCCAGTCGCAGAGTAATGTTCTCCTCACTTGTCGGGTTCTTGCTGCTGACAACAATGTCGAACCCCGTGTGATTGCGGATGCGATATGGCGACTCGGCTCCACGTGGTTTGCTCAAAACATCTTCGTCCTGTGTCAAGAATGCAAATGACTTTGAGGCGAGCGCGATCGACGCGGTTGTAATAGTGATGTCGAATGTCTTCCTCGATGCCACATCGACAGAGAGCAACCCGGTGTCTTGTTCTCTAGCAACGCCAAGGCCAACCTGCCATGGTTCCAACAATGGCTCCCAGGCTGATTTAGAGAAGTTGTAGATGTTAATATACATCTCAATAGGTACTTCTGCCTTCAGGTTCGACGACCAATTCTCAGCTGTTGCCGTGAAATTCTTGATGCTCAAATCAAAGATGGGCAATTCGTGTAGGTCTCCAATGAGGACGACACGCACACCTTCGATGGTCGCAGTAAGTTCTTCATGCCGCTGTGGCTTCTTCGCAAGATCGTGGGGCTGACGACCATCGCGATTCGACTGAGACCGACCACTTATAGTTCCTGCTGGCTTGCCAGTTCTAGTTCTGTTGGCTGCCATAGTCGATGGACCCTTGCCACTAGCAGTTCGTTGCTTGAGACCGGCTCTGCTCAACTCCTTCGCCTTCTGATCCGCTGCACTGGGCTTTGCATCTTTCTTCTCATCATTTCCTGAGAGCTCGGACGCCTTACTAATGATCTGCAAAGCTAGAAGGATGTCTCGCAACGACAATCTTAAGACGAGAGGGTCGATATCAACATGGATGCTCGTTAATGATGGCCGTGAACTATCCATGCTCATCTGAATCGAGAAATCATCGATGATACGCAGTTGAGTATCATCGAACCGGTCCATACGACAGAGGAACATGCCCACCTGAGACACTTGGAAGGTCAATGCGTGTTGCTGCGAAAGGAGAACCTGTTTTGTCCCTAAGACAATGGCTTCGCTGCTGGAGCTCAGAGGATTAGCGATAAGTATGACTTGGGCATCTACGACATTGACCCTAAAAGCAAGGTTCATCTTCGACTCATCGGATTCCTTCTTATCATTCCGGCTGATGGATTTGTCGCTGCTCTGAGATTTCTGCGACTTTTGGCCTGTGAAGGTCACCTGCATACTGTCCGCATCGCTCTCCTCTGGCGTCTCTGCCTCTTCTTCCTCGATGGGGCTTGGTTCATCTGCCTGCATTCCAATACTTATAAAGCTCTGGATCGCAAAGAGGTAGTCTAATGCGAAAATGACCTTTGGTGAGTCGACAGCGACCACAACGATGACGTTTCTCTCCTTGCCACCCGTCATCGAGACGCTCGCCATGAATTGCTGTACGTTCTTGTTGCTGCTAGTCATGATTCGGCGGTACTTGTTCGTATCCCTAGGACGAGAATCATTGATTGTGAAGCTGTAGATGACGAACTCGGCTTCTAGGCTGCCATTATCTTGGATTCGCGTCTTGAGCTTGCTATTATCCAGACTGAATCGGCTAAGGCTGGCCCCATCCAGGTTGCCTACGGGCTCATCTTCTGGCGCATTTATCAATTCGAGGCCGATGGTATGTATGCCAAATACCAAATCTAGCTTTGTCCATGTGTCAGAATGATTGCCAAGTTCTGGACCGAGGTCAATAAGCTGGTCTTGTTGTGGAGACTCGTCTGAAGATGACATCGTTTGTGCGCGCTCAAGAGTGCTTTCATCCACGTCCTGTTCTGCTTCCTCGGCTCTTGCGTCTGTGTCACCTGCGAAAGCGGCTGGCACAGACTTAGAGATCTCAAGTAAAGCCTTGAGCTGATACTGGGTAATACGAAGATTGAGATCTGTCATGTTACCTTCGATCTCAAGCTCCGGTCGCTTTGCGCCTTGCTTGTGTTCAGCATAGGTGATGTTAAATCCAAGGTCAACGTGGTCGATCATCTCTAGCTCTTCGGATTTGTCCTCCGGATAGTGAAACAAGCTGGTCATTCGAATGTTTCTAATACCCGCGGAAAGTTTCATTGCTATTTCAGCATCCTCAGAGTCGTCAAGGGGAGCGAACTTGTTCTGAGCGTAGATCTCTCCCAGATATGCAGTTACAAGATCACGCTTAGGTCGTCCGGGAACAACAAGTCGAGGGAAGACAACGATCGGGGTCATGACAACCACATCAAACTTGATGCGACTACTGGATTGTTGCAACTGCTGAGCTTGGTTTGCAGCAGCCTGCCGTGCAGCATTGAAGATCGCTTGCATCTTGCCAAACTTCACTAAGAAGTCGATTATCTTACGGAACGGCTCCTCGAGGAAGTTCACCTTGATGGAACCAGCTCGAAGATAAATGGACGAGTCATATCCTGGATACACTTCCTTGTTGCCAGCGTCGAAGGTCTCATATCTGAAGTCGGCTAAGTCATCGCCTTGGATGGTGACAAGCTGGCGTAGACTGGACTCTTCAGATGCTCCAGCGTTCACATCGTCCACCAAGGAGAGATCTCCAAGCCTTGCACCGATGCGCATGGTTTTCCCCAACAAGAAGACGCCCACATCTGCCTGGTTGAACGAGAGCGTCGCTAGGCGTATGCCGTCATTGTTGAGAATGAGCCTAATACTCTTAAGATCAACCTTAACCTTGATTGCAGCTGCTTGAGTATCCTGCGTGGCAGGTGGTTCCACGTTGACATTTACCTCCGACCCATCATCTGTGATGGCTTTTTGCGATGGTGGTGGGCTGTTGTCATTATTTGTAAATGTGACCAGAATGAAGTCCAGGAGCGTGAGTAGTGTTTTGCGAGTGACGATGAGGTTGATAGTGGAGATCTCGGCATTAACGTTCGTCTCCACTCCATCATAGACTGACATGAACTCGGGTGATTCCTTCTTGACTTTGATAAATTTGACCTTTACGAGCTCTTTCTCCTCTTTTCGATCTTCCGTGTCACCAGAGGATACAATTGACTTGAACTCCGCTGGCGGGTTGTCAACAAAATCATCAACCGTCACAGACCCTAGTGACACTTCTGCCACCATGTCGTATGGGCGTAGATAGAACTCAAGGTCAAAGTGCTGAGCTACAAGCTCCACAAGTAGAGCGTCTGGCTTCTTGCCGTCGGGGTCACTCTTATAAAGAGAGCCCCGAAGCTCGTCGACTGCGAATTTGAATTGGAATGACTTTTGTTGCATCTTTAGCTTCTCGTTCTTCTGACCGTCACGGGCATCCACAAATTTCTCATCTTCTTCGTCAACATCCTCTAGAACAATGGCCTGCTGTTGCGTTGTGAAAGGCAGGAATTGAGACGACCGCCGTTTCCGCTCACTCCTAGGTCGGGAGCGGCTAGATCTAGTTGAGCGATCCGATCGCCGAGAGACGTTACTCAACAGTCGAGGACGCTTCGGACGGTCTTCACTAGCCTGGCTCTCTGGTTCTTGACCATCAAACTTGGGTATCGCAACATCAATAATCTTCATGAGAGCCTTATATTTTGTGTCGGAGACAGCAGCGTGAAGGAGGGGCATGTGTCCCGATACCTTCAATTTGGTCAAATTTGGTGCCTTCGGAAGGATTGATAGCTGCACTACGAAATCGACACTAATCTTCTCAACAATGTGCAGGTTGAGATCTTCATTCTTCTCAATGAGCTGGGACTTAGTCTGCTCAATAGAGGGTCCAATGAGAACTTGAGTTGAGGTAAGCTTCACGATGAATTTGTCGTACATCAGCGATTCGAGGCGTTTGAAATCTTCGTCTGTATACGACTGGTTCTGCTTGGATTGAATCTCCTTCATGGTATCCTTGTCGACCAATTCAGAGTTCACGCTGATATGACCAGCATCCACGATGAGGCACGTCGAGGTTTCAGTTTTGATGCTCTGGGGGATGATAATCAAAGGCGCTTGCAAATCTAGCTTCGCGTTTATAGTCTTGTGCTCCTCCAAGGCGAACTCAAGTCCAGCACGGGTTTGCTCGCGGAAGCCTTCAACGGTTGCACCTGCAGTCTCCATGAGGGCTGTAATAGACTCCATGTGACGTTCAGGTGGTCTGAAAAAGTCGGCAACGCCAACCACGAAATTGGGATTCCAGACGATCTCAAGCGGCTTAAGTTTGGCCATGAGAGCAATGTCTCCCTCGCCATCAAGAGGATTCCTCTCTAATTGGAACTGGAAGAAGGCTTCTTCGCTGCTCTTTTCTAGCTCCACCATTGATAATCGTTTCTTTTTTTTGTTTTCTGGAGCATCCTTAACTCTGACGATTTCTTTGAAGAGACTGTCTGGAGTAGTGCCGTCATTTACACGGAGACCTCCGAGACTGACATCTGCAAGGAAAGAGTCAGGGCGAGTCAATGCCTTTGCTTTGAAGACATCAAAATGCAAACTAAGTAGATCTTTGACATCATCATGAGGATTCTGCTTCAAGGTGAAACTTCCAGTACTGAGAGATGCTTCCACCTGGAATTTGATACTGTCTCGTGGTGTCTCGACGTCTTCTGCAAGGGCGGTTTTTTCATCCCAGTCAATGGCTTCGTACAACTCTTTGCGTTGTTCCTCAGTCATTTGTGTGTTCTCGTCCTCTGAAGTCGTCTGCTGCTGAGGCTTTGAACCCCACACCCAGGACATCCATCCTTGCTGCTGTTCCTGTTTTGGCGGTTGCTTTCTTAGGGCGGCAGCGTTCTCCTTCCTCAATTGATTCCGAGCAAGTGACCGCCAGAAGCGCAGGTCTTCGTAGTCAAGTCTCCACTCAAGCTTGTTGAGGTCATCGTTCTCTTCGGAGCTGAGCTGTTGGTTCTGCTTCTTCTTTTTGAACAATTCTATGTATCGCAATCGATCGTCCCGCCGTTCGCGGAAATAGTCCCAGCTCCAACGGCGGTTCCTGTCGTGGATCTTGCTGAGCACGGCATCTCCTGCGAACTTGAGCCATGCCCGCGGGTCTTCCTTTGGCGTGACGCCCTTTGGTTGGTATTTTTTATATTCCTGATGCCGGATGAAGTAATGGAATAAGTCGACCATCATGAGCGCGTCTCGGTATTGGTCGTCGTCTAGCACAAGTCCGATTTCGTCAAAGAGGAGGTTTGCCTTGAACTTTGGTACGTGGACATCCCCGCTCTTGTCCATCTCGATCTTTGCTTGCCCACTCACTGGCTTCAGAATGAACTGGTGATTGAGGTCGGACTCTCCTTCGGCTTTTCCTATCATGGTTTTGAATGTCTCAATCATCTCTGAATGCTCCATCTTATCATCGCCGGAAGCCTCAGCTTCTCTGCCGGACCCAAGAAGTGTGGTATCCGTATTCCAATATACCGCTAGCGCGCCCAATGTCGCAAGCTTATGTGTAGTCTTGGTAGAGTCCTGGATAAAGGTAGGGCGCCATTCACCGTCAGTAGAGACAGCGCTAAACTCTTCGAGAGTAACGCCGAGAGCAAACGGGTGCCCTGGCGCCGAGATAGAGTCCTCGTAGCGGACATGGATGTTCTTTACAGTAACCTGTAAGTTGTCCACGATCTTTGTGACAAGACTCTGGGTGAAACTCTGGCTCCGTTTCTGCTCCTCCTGGCTGAGACCCTCCTGGGATCTCTCCTTCAGCAGCTCAGCGGAGTCCAGCTTCTCCATCTTGATGCGCTGTCTCCGCCGCTCCTCCTCTTCCTCATTGTATTGTGCCTCCTCCTTCGGGCTAGCAAGAAGGAAAACATCTTCGATGAAGATCTTGACGGGGGCGCCGCGCAGGTTCGACCAGGGTATGACGAGGGTGAGCTGGCCGAGATGACCTTCGACGACGTTTATGGGCAGCTTGAGCTGGTCGAGTGCTTCTCGGCGGAGCTCGAGGTTGCGAAGCTTGACATCGCCCGACCATATTCCAACCTTGAGCTGTGTCGGATCGAAGTTTTTGACGTACATGCCCAGGAAGCGGTTGAGCAGACCCGCGACGAGGCCTTCGAGCATATTGAATCGATGTGGCCGTTACCCGGGCCGGGGCTCGTCTTTGGTGATTCAGCGGCGTGTGTGTAGCTTCATTAGGGGGAGATTGTCGTCGGAAACGAGTAGCACTGCGTGCCTATTGTGTTTTGAAGTATTGAGGACAGGAGGATTGTGGGCACGGCGTCATGAGCTGGATCTTTCCTGGGTGCAGCGCCGGTTGCCTGATACGTAGCGGGGTATCCTAGCTCGAGTGCGATGTAGGGACCTAGACGCGTGGATGCCGCTTGCTCGAATGCAGACGCGGGTAACGTTATCAGATGTAAGGGCAATAGAATTACACTGCCGAACAGAAATGCAATGGGGCCTAGGTATGAAAAAGACGGTCTCGAGAGAAATTGTGTAGCGTGTCGTGTGTCTGTGTGGTGTAATTTCAGTATGTACTGCACACAGAAACAGAAACCTGAAAGCTGGCGTTGGGTGGCTCAGCCTCGACAGAGCCCACACTGCTTGAGATTTGTGTGGCGTTGGCTCAAGGAAGGTGCGATGACGCTGTTTTTTCTGGCGAAGGTGGAGTGCAGCTTCCCCCTCTGACGTTTCCTTCGTCTCTCAGCTGCCACGGGCCGCTAAGCTCCCTCACTAATGGCAGCTGTGCTTTCCTCTTTTCATCGTCATCAAACGGCGGGGCAGTTGCCAGGGGTGGGAAATGCTTGGCCTTTTCAATGCACGGTTGGGGTGTATTTTCCAACCAGCAAAACAGCTTGGCCCTTACCAAAAGTCAATTGACTCAGATATGCTGCATCACCTAAGTATTCCTAAGAAACTTTGCTTCATTACTACTAATTTAGTTTCCGTTTAAACTCACTTCAATGCAAAAATCTATCAAGAGTCTTGTTCGAGTCTCTTTTTATGTCTACATACTGCCGTATTGTAATTGTGATGGATGGGCGTACGCTGAGCGCCGTGGGGGTGGATGCATGTCCAATGCGACGGAGCTCGGCCGTGTAGACATTACGTCACTGACGAGCAGCATAGCTCGGGCACTCTGGAGCAGCAAGCTTTCAAATGCCCACAACAAAACTCACGTCAACGATTTCCACGAGGACTTTTCTCGGAGACAGCGGCTTGTTTTAATTTGAAAGCGTCCAGATCTGTGTTCCTGAGATTTCTCCTTCTTTGTGGCTTTCTAACTTGCCAATTGAGCTCTGACCCTCCCTAAGTCAACAAACCCAAGGTCGACAGCGACCAACAGAGTGCCCAGCATGCTTCGAAGCACGCGCCCACTACTTACTCGAGCAATTGCTCCCAAGAGGGCCATTGCACCAGCGTCTCTTTTCTCAACGAAATCTCCGTCGACTATTTCACCTTTGTCCAGGTCTACTACAGCAACTGGCATGCGGGCAAATCTTCCCGCCCTATCCAAAGTACAGCGCTCCCGGTATGCGACCATTCCCGACAAAAGGGACGTAGAATTCGAGAAGGAGACGGCCAAGAAGAAGATTGAAGCGCGTCCTGACGAGGTATCTACTCAATCTTCAGTCCGGCATGTCTTCGAGGAGGCTTCTAGCGCTGGTGAGGGAGTAAAGAAGGACGAGCAGGATGTCTTAAAAGGTGTCAAGCAGGATCTTGTTCGTCTTCCCCGTCTCTTTCTTCCCGATGTCGCATTGACAACTGATTCCTTTTAGGAAACGGTCAAAGACACATTCGCGCTCAAGACCGTCCCCCCTCTATCCTACGCATTGGGCATTGCTGGCACTGTCCCTTACCTCGTCACCTCAATCGCCACAGTCTACCTGGGGTGGGATCTTAACACTGACTGGCCGAGCCAATCTCAACTGCTCAACCACATCATGATCAGCCCCGAGACAGCTCAGCGCTGGCTTGACTTACTTGAGCCAATTCAACTAAGCTACGGAGCGGTCATCATCTCGTTCCTCGGTGCCATTCACTGGGTGAGTTTGCAAGGCACTCGACACATTGGCAGAAGCTAACAGCAGATCAGGGCCTGGAATATGCCGAAAAGACACCTTCACTCGCCCGCACCCGCTTCCGATACGCTATGGGTGTTATCGCCCCAGCAGTCGCGTGGCCCACCCTCCTCATGCCCGTTCAATTCGCCTTGACAGCTCAGTTCCTCGCATTCACTGCTCTATACGGTGCTGATACCCGTGCGACCTACCGTGGCTGGGCTCCGCCATGGTACGGCACCTACCGTTTCGTGCTGACCTTCATCGTCGGCGGTGCCATTCTCATCAGCTTGATTGGCCGCGAGAAAATTGGCGCAGACAGGCCTAGACTCAGCAACTTGAGAGAAAAGCTGCACAAGACGGGCACAGAGTCTGAGAAGTACGTGAACTGGGAGAAGCTAGAGCAAGAGGAGAAGGAGCGCATAAAGAAGGAGAAGGAAGAGGAAGAGAAGCGCAAGAAAGAGGAGGAGAAGAAAAATAAGAAGAAGAGTAAGGGCAAGAAGGGCGGTAAAGAAGGCGACAAGGCGGAAGCCAGTAAAGATGACGGGAAGGAGAGCAAGAAGGAGGATGGCAGTGAAGAGCAGCAAGATGAAGGTGACGAAGAGTCAAAGGATAGCGGAGACGAGGACAAGGGCGGAGACCAGGACAAGGATGAGGATGGGGGAGAAGACGACAAGAAGGAGGACGATAAGGATGATCAGAACAAGGGCGAAGGAGGTGACAAGGAAGAGAAGAAAGACAAGGGAGGCGATGGCGATAAGAAGCAGAAGACGTCGAAATAAGGCTTTAGGCACGGTTACGGCGTTTTGGGGACCTTGCCTGCATCAAAAATCTTAATTGGGACGTTTGCTAGCCATGATATATGGTTGGAGAAGCGAGTCATGCTGTCATACTTTTGACTGTAATCATATTATTCTCTTTTTTATTTTTCAGGTATAGCTCGTTCATCAGCAATTAGTCTACTCAAAGCGAACATTTCTGGTTGGTATCTCCCGTCAGCACCTCAAGGGTCGTACAGTAAGCCCACTCAGAATAGAATGAGAGTATTGCAACCCTACGACACAACATAAGACTTTGATTGATAGCTCCACAAAACTCCGCCTTTATCTGACTTCAGATATAAAATGACTCTCACACCGCTGATGACTGATGGTACAGAGTATCACAATTCAAACAGCAGCGGATACTAGACTTCTGCTATATTGAATTAGCAAATACGCAATGGCGACTCCGCGTGTGATCCTTACCAAAGACTACATTCTCAACGCATTCAAATTGCTAGAAGAAACAGAAATTATGACAAAGAGGATGGAGTTCTTCAACAGGTATATGGTCGACAATGTGACATGGAACATCACGGGAAGCGCACATGACCTCGTCGGAACGAGATATAATCTGGCGGATCACACGGCTGCAACATTCGGCAAGCTAGGTAATGAAATGATAGAAGTCTCCACGGTAAAGTCGTGTAGATATGGATTAATGTGAGTCATTTCTAACATTGTGAGGTTCCAGGGCAGAACCTTGTGAAGCCAATTCGATTCGTTGTGAGAAGTGTCATTGAAACAGGGCAGCAGTGC